ATAGTAAACAAGGTTTACCTTTACGCACCTATGTGCGGGGCTATCAACGGGTCAAATCCGGACCGAATCATAGTAGGTTCAAATTTGATTTGTTTAATAAAAATATATCGAGCCTTATAAATTTGGATTGAGTTTTAAAAATATAAAATTGGATCCTAATGAATCGAATCATATTCGAAACTCGTTTCAGATTTATCACTTATTTTTTGTATAAAATTTATGCTTACTACATTGAATAAATTATTTCAATATAAAATATATTTCCATCATTTCACATATAAAAAAATATATTAAATAATATTTCTTGAATTAATTTTGTAGAAAAAAATCAAAATACCACATAATTAAATAGCACAAAACAAAATAATTTTAATTAATCAAAATTTGGAATAAATGGATCCTAAATTTTAACCTAGTCTAATATTTATATATTCTCTCATATTTAATTTTTAAAATTTTTTTAATATTTATTAAAAATAATATTATTTTTAATTTTAGATTGCGTTTTATCGAATCGAATTCTTCCATCCATTTAAAGCCCTACCAATGTGCTAATAGCCATATCCATTCAATTGGTTGCACTTGTCTCTAATTGCTTCTTAAAATGTCATGTTGCTTTTTCAGCTTTGGCAAATCATATTGTCTCTTATTGCCCTCCTTTAAGCCTTACCCCACCATAACAGTCTAATTCAAGATATACCTACTTATACACCAAAATTGAGCACTCCTTCTTAGGCAAATTCAATTCTCTCTTACTTTTATCGAGTGTTTATATTTCTTACATTGCAACAAAATTCTTGCAAAGTCTTGAAATGAGTACCATTCAACCAACTTCTTTCATGGAAGAAATCGACGATAACCACGACCTCCAAATTGAAATCTTACTCTAAATGCCTATAAAATCCATCCTAAGGTTCAATTTTGTATCAAAGCGATGGCTCTCTTTAATTTTTGATGTCGAATTTTGATCCTCTCATTCTTGCTTCCAGAAAATCTAGAATCCCACTCCCAATGCTCTATCTCTCCATAGAAATTCTATGGCATTGCAATTTGTCCCTTTACAAGGGGATATTAAAACCCCATCTTTAGTTTATCTAGGTTTTCCTAATGTTAAGATAAAGCATTCTTGGAACGATTTAGTAATTTGTAGCTACAAGAACCATTTGAAGGAAAGGTATTTCATTTGCAATCCCCCGATGAAAGAATTCAAGGATGTTGCGATTCCAATCGAAGACTATCACTATAAAAAAATAGACAATTAGTGACGGATTTTAGCGGTGGATTTTATTTCATCTTTAAATGGTTATTAATTAATAATGGATTAGTGAGGAAAGAGAAAAGCTTTATTTTTTTCACTCGCATAAGCGACGGAATAACGAATGCAATGTAACGACGGACATAATTCTATCACTAAATATTGTGGTAAAAAAACACGTCACAATCAATGACACATTTTCATCATTAATTGAGTGACAAAAAATCAATTTTGTCATTGAATTGATCGTTGAGAAAGATTTATCACTAGCCATCATTATTCGACACTAATTAGCGATGGAATTTGTTCTTCGCTAAACGAAAAGTAGTTGGGAACCAGCGAGACAAAAATTATCGATGGATTTAAAATTCAAATTAGCAACGAATTATTATATCCTTCATTAATTAAAGACAAACTAGTGATAGATTTCTCCATCAATCATTGTTTTGGAAAAATTTTCAAACTTTCCAAAGAATTCGGTACTAGTTTGAAATTTAAATTAGCAACAAACATAGATGTTTTTCACTAATTAGTGCCGGAGTAGCATTGGAAGCGTCTCCATTACTACTTATTAAACATATAAACTCACTAGTTCTCTTCTTCACCATTCTACAACTCCCTCTCCTCCCCTAAATCATAGCCGTCATCAAAAAATCATCGCCCGATGTTGCTTGACACTAGCCACTCCCTTTTAGATCTCTTTGGTAATTGTTTCTCTCTCCAAATATTTTATTTTTTAATTAAATTAATGTAATTATTTTTTATCTTAATTTTATTAATTGTTAGTTGGCTGATTGTTGATTTATTTTCATTATTTATCAGCTTTATTTTTTTAATTATTAGTTAAATGTTGTTAATTTTTAGTGTTAGGTTAAATTTTAATTGTGTTAATTTTTATGTTAATTATTAGTTTAAATTTTTTAATTATTAGATTAATTTTGTTAAGTTTTAGTGTTTGGTTAAATTTTATTTATGTAATTTTTTTATGCAATTTATATTAGGTTGATTAACAAGTTGTGAGGGTGATGGACAACCATACTCTTTCATGTTTGGTGTCATGCTATCTCTAATGGTGGTCTTATATTATAGAAAATACAGTATATTACAATTAATACATGATTGTATATCGACAATATACATAGAGAGATTATCCGAAACCACTTTCCCAAAGTATTTAAATGGTGACATTCACTCGGTATAGTTTTGAACATACCTCATTGTATTTGGATGTTACAATGAGATCTTAAAGATAATGCCAATGCCTCCTATTTTTCAAGGGATAGCATCAATTAAAGTATTCAATACTTGAGACCATTTGCATATGGTACCTACCATGGATTGTTTGTAACTTCTTAAAATTTGATGTTTCCATCGATCAATATATATTATAAACCAATATGGAATACATTTTTTGAATGGTGAAGGTCTGATCATCATATTGCTGCTATATATCTACACTTTTCTTTAATCTTTGAATGCATGCATCTTTCTAGGCACTATAAGGATCATATGTCTATTGGTTTACTTGTAATTGGTTATGTTGCCGATTAATTGCCAATCAATATTCTTGACTAATTAGTTTAGAAAAAAAATCCTACAAAAGGTTGGCTTTTTCAATGTAGTATGATCTAATAAAATCAAAACATTTCGTTTGTAACTTCTTGACTAGTGTTAATCATGTTTAATCTAATATTATTTTATTTTATTAAAAAAATCATCTTTTTTGGTCAACATTTCTATTATTACCCAATTTTTCCTTTTTATTTTTCTATAAAATAAATTTTTTAATAAAATATTTTTATTCATGTTATTTTGGGCCTTTTCTTTGATATTTTTAGAGAATCTCATAATTTATGGGTTTTGATAAAATATGAAAAAAAAAAAGAAATGGGAGAATTATTTGAAAAATTATCTGGGGATCCAATTGAAGAGATTTAAGAAGTTAAGATAAAAAAAAATCCAATTAAGAGATATACTTGGGAAAAGTTTAAAATATAAGAGTCTTAATTGAAGATAAGAGAGGGTGCAATTTGAAAAGAATGCCTTGATTAACTTCGATTGGGGGTGTGATTAAAGAGAAATCAACATGATGCAAATCAAAATTGAGAAAAAAGAAGAAATGGGAACCAAAATTGATGTTTTTCCTAAACCCTAATTTCTTTCCTATAAATACCCACTCTATCTTTCTTAAATAGAGATTAGAGAGAGTCGAATAAAAGCGAACATTATTCATCTTCTTTCCTCTATTCAGCCAAACAAACCCTAACTCTCTTTTCATCCAAACCGACCGACCACACACCACCTATTGCCAAGACCAACAACCACCACCTCCAGTCGAAATCCATTGCCAAGACCGGCCTCCCTAAGCTCACATGAGCTTCTCCAACCTCTACTTAAACTTCACCAAGTCGTCGACCACCTCTTCGAATAAGACCAACCTCTCTAAGCTTCTTCGACCTCTATCCAAACTTCCCCAAGTTGCTAGCCGCCATTACAACCAACAAACCTTAACCGTATCTTCTCTTGCCGACCACCATCTACCAATCCAATTAACAACTTTCACTTTATCAAAACCATGAAAAGAAACTATTGTCCATTATCCTTTTTACAAGCAAAAATCAAAGAGAAAACCTTCAACCATCGCCATCCTTTCCTCCGACCGACCACTACTATACAAGGTACGACAAGCACCATTGAACCCCTTCCAACTAGTCACGAACCAACCTTGCCTAAAACAAGCTTACTTGAACCAACCCACATGAAAAATGCAACCCCTCTATCCAACCTCTTTCTTCAATCCTTCCAACCCAAACATATACTACTAACCACCACCCTTCTCTTCCTTCATTTCCTCTAGCTCATACAACCAAGAAGATAGACAATTAGCGATGAATTTTAGTGATTTTATTTCGTCTTTAAATGGTTACTAATTAATGATGGATTACCGAGGAAAGAGAAAAAGTTTATTTTTATCACTACAAAACGACGTAATAGCGAATGCAATGTAGCAACGGACGTAATTTTGTCACTAAATATCGTGATAAAAAAATGTCATAATCGATGACAAATTTTCGTCACTAATTAGCAACAAATAGCGATGGCTAGCAACGAAAGATTTATTTTTTACGATGGAAATTCCATCGCTATGAATATTTTTTGCCGTTGCTAAGTTTAGCGACTAACGTTTTAGCGACGTACATAATTTCCATTGCTACGCCATCGCCAAGCTACTTTAGCAATGAATATTGGCTAATTAGCGACAAAAAAATCCATCGCTAATTAGCGAAAAACACTTATGTTCGTCGCTAATTTAAATTTTAAACTAGCATCAAATTCCGTGGAAAGTTTGAAAAATTTTCCAAAATAGCAACGGATGGAGAAATCTATAGGTAGTTCATCTTTAATTAGCGACGGATATAATAGTTCATTACTAATTTGAATTTCAAATCTATCGACAATTTTTATCTAATGGTTCCTAACTACTTTACGTTTAGCTATGAACAAATTCCAACACTAATTAGTGACGAGATAGCGATGGCTAGCAATGAAAGATTTATTTTTTGCGATAGAAATTATATCGCTATGAATATTTTTTGCCATTGCTAAGTTTAGCGACTAGCATTTTAGTGATTTACATAATTTCCATTGCTACACCATCGTCAAGCTACTTTAGCGACGGATATTGGCTAATTAGTGACAAAAAAATCCATAGCTAATTTTCTATTTTCTTGCAGTGTATTGTACTATGAAGATAGATGTTACTTTACGTTTTGATCCGTCGATATCACGTCATTACAAAGTCATTTGTCTTAATGTACTGGCTTCAACGTCGGTAGCTAATCCTGCAATATATATTTTTTCATCCGAGAAGAATTTTTGTTCTTCAATACTATTTGACCTAACAAATGAACATGCAGTCTCTTGTAATGGTGCAGTACAGTGGTACAAATCCAAGGAGAGTTTGTTTCATTTGGATCTGAAAAAAGAGACGTTGAACGAAATGTCAATGCCTCCCACTTTTAATGGAACTGCTATGTACTTTGGGGAGTCTCGGGGCCGTTTACTTGTCGCAGTAAGAGCATTTCCCTATGTGAAAGATTTTGAGGCGGAGTGTTATAATCCTAGATGGACTTCAAGGCACTTAGCGATATGCCGGTACTATTCTCCTCAATACAGGCCGCTTATGGGGACTACTGAATTTTCAGTATTGAGTATTACTACTGGTGAAATGAAAGAGGACGACTGGACGATTGTTACATATGAGGAGGGCGAAGTCTATTCCAATAAAAAGTTGGCTAGGGAAAAGAACAAATTAAGTTTGGGAAAGGAACAAGCTTTGTGATGCAGAGATACCTTTGAGTGTATCTGGCCCTCCCGCGGGGAATTATTATTGGCACAACTCGTATCAGTACTTCCGAGTCTCTCGCTTGTCCTGATCCCTCATAGCTGGAAAAGGGTGCTAGGTAAATTTCATCCTTGCTGTTTCTATTGTAATCGTAATAAATATGAAGGGCATGGAGAATCTGAGCAGCTAGAGTTTTAAGGCAGAATGTAAACTTTGTTTGGCATTATCAGGATCATATGGTCGCTGGTTTATTCCTTTGGTGCTTACCAATTGCTGCAATCATATACCCTTCATTGTTTTTGCACAGTTTTCCTCGAAAAGAGGAGGGTTGTTGATTGATCATAACTGCAAATGCAAGGTGTGAAGTAAGAATTTGAGTTTCTATTTAGCAAGCACTAAAAATGCACCAGTCTTTATAATCTGATAACACGCCATATATTCAAATTGTCCGTATTTGTTGTTGCATATTGTAGACAGAAAGAAGTCTAGACTTCACCTTGAAAGTCACTTCACCAAAATAACTTTGGCATATATTTAGGTGGAAACATGAAATTGCATCTTCTAGCGTTGTTGTATATTGCTAAACCCCATATGTTTCTTGTTTTTGTGGAACATTTCAGAAAATCTTTGCTTTGCTTGAGTAAGACATTGCTAGGGAGCTGTAAATCACCAAAATAAAACGAAGGGCAATAAATTCTTTCAGTAGAGCAATGCGAACGAGTTGGGGAGAGTCATTCTGTTTCTGTCTAGTTAATTTTGTTCTATTTCCTAAACATAGAACAGTGGTGCTTAGTCTTTTTTCTTCCAATTCTAACTGGTGTGTGCTAAAAGAGTTATGCTGCTTCACAAGAAAAGAAAGCGAAAAAAAAAAAAGAGAGTTACAAGAAAATTACAAGCGACTAAATTGGTGATAGCTCATAGCTTTTTTGGTTTCCAACTCACGCTCTAAAAAAAAAGAGAGAGAGAGAGAACGAACGAACACAACATATCTGTGTGTGGGTCTGTTCAGAATATACTGACATATAATTAAAATTAACTAATTTTTGCACATAGCATTCGAAATACGAGATACGAAGACAATAATGTTAGCACATTTCAGCAGCTCAGCATTAAAAAATATGTTCTGAATTTGATAAAGCTACAAAAAACCTTAAACCTCGATCAGATGGTATTCGTCGAATTACCAGTTATCTTGTCTTAGCTGCATTATCCAATCATGGACTAGAATCAGGAGGACCTTACATGATCCGGAGTAGATATTTCAGGGGTTAATACTTACAGTTGTGTATCCAAAATTCACGTCTACACAAAAAAATATTTCTTTTAACAGTGTAAAAATCTTCTTCTTACAAAGCAGAGGATTAGAACATCATCAGATTTGTTGCTGTCCCAACAACATAAGGTTCCATCAATAACCGAGTCAAGAAGTAAAAGATGACACCCAAAGCTATTGAAATAGGGAGAGCTGGCAGAGCCTGGCGCCTTACCGACAACAAAATAAGAGTACAGCCAAGTCCAGAAATAATTGCAAGGTAACATGCATATACTGTCATTAGATCATACATTGCAGCCCTGCCCACAAGAACGCTGTAAAACACAAAATCTCCAAGACCAAGTTTAATACCTCTACTAGAAACCTCAGAATTCTCCTGGCCATCTCTCATCTGTTCCCTCCCATTCCTCATTTCTGGTGCATCGACAAGCGGAGACCTTTCCTCATCAGCAACTATCTCAGAGTCACGATTTCCAACCACAGTTGAATACTCTGATGAGCTGCTGCCCGATGAGCGCCTCTCCTCCAAAAAACCCACCAATTGGGACCTCTCCACCTCATCTCTCCTCTGTACACCTTCCATGTTTCCAAAATTCGTATCCTGGATAACATTATAGCCAGAATTCACACGATTTTGACTCTCATTCCGATCCAAGTTGTTACTTGACACTGTTTGCATCTCCACTGACCCAGATTCTGAAACCCCACCAACCAAAAGGTCCAAACTCCGACCCTGAGCAATCCCATTTTGTGAAACTGTTGGACGAGCCTCATAAACCAACGCTGGAAGTTCCTCATCTCGGCTCTGAGCCAACTCCACCAACATCTTAAGGGGCCCACCAGGTGCCAGAACTGCCACCAAATCATATAGTGCCAAAGCTACCAGCAAAGCCCAAGTAGTCCACTCTGGTAACTTAGTAAACCAAGCTGCCACAAATATCCCCAAGGCCACCATATACCCTTGCCTCACAAAAATTGGTACCCCACTTGAAAATAACGACATTACACCAACAATTGTAAAATTAAACAACAGAATAAAACAGGTAATTGAATCAACAGGTATTGAGAAATGCTGAATCATTGATAGAAAAATCGAGCCCCCCATTGTACCTGAGAAGCAACAAGAGCATGAGGCTAAGAAGACCACCTCAAATGGAATGCCATTAATAATCAAAAGGCCCAATAATAACTAGCATAAATCATAATTGAGTCTAAAGGCATTGAAATATGCTGAATTGTTCAAAAAGAGGATCTATCCATCCATAACACAAAGACAAACAACATAACGCAATCACAAACATAAAATCAAGTCACATCAATGACATGTCCGAACTAGTAATTGTGCTAACATGAACGGGAATACATAAAAAATCATGAACTAGAAAACGCAACAAGAAAATACATAACCATTGAATCAAGGGGAAAACAAACTATCTCAATCATGGATAGCAATATCAAACTACAAAATGACATCTACAAATAATTGAAAAACCACCACGTCAAACTCATAAACAACCAAACACACTTTAGGAGCTAAATAATCAACAAAATTATCAGCCCAGTTACCCAACTAAAAAACCAAAATAAACTCACATTACTAAAATCGACAATCAGCAAAAAAAAAAAATTACACAAACGAAGACTAAGTACAATAAACCAACAAAATAATTCCAAAAATCAACATAATTAACTTCTCTGCCACATAAAAAAAAATACAGAAAGAGTCGAATTATGAAATGTACCTAAGACGAAAAAAGCCGAGAACCGCATGTAATTCTTCAAGAATCCAGTACAGTTGTAATAATACAAGAGAACAAGAAAAAAAGTAACCACAGCAATGACAATAACAAACACGAGCGCGTTTAAAAGAGCGCCCTCAAATTTCTCGGCTGTTGAGTCGGAGGGGCTCTCAAGGTAGACGAGGTTAGCAGCGGTGCGGATCGGCGGAGCGGGGGCCGCAGAGAAAGGGTTAGAAGGGGAGAGAGAGTAGACGATGAGAACAACAAGGAGCATGCAGATTGACACCGGGGACATGACGCCAATAATTTCTACACCGATTAAATCTAAAATGCTCGACTCCATTTTTTGGGTTTTGGAATTTTGTCGAGCACGTTGAGGGTGTGTTTTTTAGTGTGGGATTAAATTCGCAGAAGAGAGGGTGGGCTTGGTAATTTTACTTTACAGCTATTCTTCTGTAGATTTGACTTCAAAGTTTTAAGCAGTGTTTCTTGTTTTCGGTAGCGTCTTTGCTACGGTAGAGTCGGAGAAATTTGGGTTTTAAAAAACCCATGTGTAGTCCCTCTATTTTTTGCATTTGATCAAATCAGCCCTATTTTAAATTAATGGAATCAACTTTTCTTCTCGATCGGAGCATTCAAATATATTTGAGATAACATTCATTCATTTGGCCGTTTGATTAGTAGCAGGATTGGATTAAAGGGCTCAAATCACCATTAATTGAAAATAAAATGCTTGATTTGATCCAAATTAATTAAAGCAGAAGGTTGGTTTGATTGAATACGAATTGGTGGTGCAAATGTTTTATGTGTATATTTTTGAGATTTCGTAGAGTTAATTTGACAATCCCGATTAACAATGCATAAATCAACTCTGTTCAGTAGAATAATTTTCTCGAATATCATAAAGTCCAATTTTCAATGTTTTATTGGACAATAAATGCACAAGTGTCCATAATTTGAAATATTAATTTTGGGTGCCAACAAGGGTTTACTATGACAAACAATTTTTGTTGCCAAATACGACCACCATAACAATCTGAATCCTCTTGTTGATGGTTTGAATGAAAGATTTCATTACATGAGATAAAAACGACTAACAACAGATGTTGCCATCCATGAAACATAGTTACCAATAGCAGGAAGCAATCAACTTGCCTTAACATGAGAGCACAATCAAAGGGAGAATGGACTCAGGATTAATAGTACATTTGCCTTAACATGAGAGCACAACCAAAGAGAGAATGGACCCAGGATTAATAGTAACTACTAGCTTTTCTACCCGCGCAATGCCGCGGGTAGGATAAAACACATAATTATTTTTAAAAAATTATTTTAATTTTGATGTCTCATGTTATACTATACGTTTATCAAAATATGTTAAATAAAAAAAAATTCATTTAATTTTTTAATCAAAATTTTATATTTAACTAATTATTGTTTATATTTTCATAAATTTTTAATTAAAAATTTATTTATTTATTAATTTTTTTTTGTTGGTTAAGCTTTCCGGTGCATGACACGGACATTGGCCTAAGTGGCTCTTCCGAGAAACCTTTTCTTTATATGCTTTTTGACTTCCCGTTATGTTTAAAACTCAAGTTCCAAAAAATAGTGTTAGACTTTGGTTAGATAATTGATAAAGCTATGTTATGGAATTTGTCTCCCCTCTCATCAATTTATGTGCTGAAATATTTGTAATGAGTCCCGGATGCTTTCTCATCACTCGTTTATGTGGTTGCAAAACATCAAAGGAGTGATACGCAAAGGAAATTAAGATTTTTGCTAGGAAACCTATTTTACGGATGTTAATTGGTATTTAAATCTCCCGAGTTCCTTTTATGTGCAACGATACACATGGCTTGTATAATACATTTAACAATAAAATTAAGTTAGCCAAACGATCAAGCATCAATCACTAAAACTCATAATTCCTTTTGAATGAAACATATCGGCATTTCGTAAATCCGCAACTCCGTTATCCTCTCAATAAAGAACATTTTGGGCACCTCCTCTAGTTCTTGTTCTTGGCTAGATTCATCAATAGTATATCATCCCTTTCTCTCTCATCCTTATGCGACCTCTTAAACTCTTCGCAGCTCGATCCGTGAATGCGAAGGAACCTTACACTCGGGCACGGAACATTCTCCTACAATTAGGACACTCGGATTCCCTTATAACCTCTTCTCCCTCATCAATTAACATTGCGGAACAATCCTTGAAGGACAATAAAACTTATGAGACCTAAGAATCGAGCCTCGCACAAAGCATTACCCCATCTTTCGAACATATCTTCTTGTAATATTGAATGGCAACTCTCGAGCTCTAATACGGCTTTACAATCTAGCACATGGCAACAAATTTTACTTATGTTTTCTTGCAACTTGGAGACCACATACTTGATCATACGATCGAGTACGGTAAGCGTGAGTACAACCCTTGATCAAAAATAACTTCTTTAAAGTCATGGGTTTAACATGGATTTCACAAACAAAATGCAGGTCAATTTGAGAATTCGAAGATTGACCATTTTCGATGATCTGAATCTCCAAAAATGGGTTCTTTTTGTTTGCTAGGAGTGAATTGAGGCATAAAATCAAGTACCTTTACATCATCATCAATTTCATCATAGTAGTAGAAATACTCTGAGAGAGATCAACGGAATTTGCTAGTTTGTTGGAGTTAAGAGCGACCATGATAGTGCTTATTGAGCTCTCTATCTTCACCGTACTCTTCAACATTTTGTTGCCTTTCTTCGAAAGAAAGTGATTGCTATGCTAACTTTAGGGAATGGATGCGGAGTCAAATCCATATGAGAAATTGGATTACGTGCTCGCAACAACTAATAGTATGGCTAGGTCAAGTTTATCAAACATGATCAAAGGTATATTAACAAAAAAGTCAAGTTCTCAAACCGAATAAATCATCGCCTCATCATCAATTAATCTTAAACCAATTTCACACTATATACACACCTTCTCTATGCTATCAACATCAATTTGTGACTTCAAGTTGCAAATTTATATAGTCGTATTACTATGTAACTATAGAAGGAAAAGAAAAGAAAAAGTAGCGACCTCAATCGAGTGGTGTCGAAAGCAAAAGCCCCAAAGAGAACAAAACCTTAGGAAGTTGAGGATTTTCTTTAAGCACAAAAGAAGAAAATTCCGATAGCTATAATAAATCATGCATCCATAGAAAAAGAAACTAAGAAATCGGTTAAAATATCAACATTTACATTGGTTTCCTTACGGATGACGAAGTAGAACTTATAGCATCATCATCTAGGTCATCCTTATTCTCGGGGATTCGAAGTGGATGAAAGAATGTGAAGAAAGTTTCACAATCCTCAATTTTTATGACGAGTTTGGTATTCTTTGACCCCATTCTTGGTTTCTTCTTCACAACCTTATTTGTCAAGCATTTTTCAGGAAACAAAATTATACCTACAAACATTTTTCAATAAACAAAATTATATCCACAAACAGAATTATCACGGATAAAAAAATGAAACAAATAAAGAAAAATGTTACCATCCGAAAAAAACCTCAAGAAACTCATAGGTGACTAATAAAAAAATGTACCTCTTTTATATTTAGGTCGGGACATAATCTTCACCAACCAAACAAACCGAAAGAAAGAGATGTAATGTTATTCTCTCTCTATAACTTCTTGCTCCCGGGAACAATTTGAGGCTTTTTCCTCAACATCCGCCAAAGTCTCTTTCGGTTCGGTTCATCAACTAATGACTCACTTCTAACGAGCATCCAATCAAGGTTGGAATCTCCTCACCTGTAAGAAAAAAATAGAGAGAGATAGTTAATAAGACCAAAACCAGATTCATTTTCTTAAATTCTTGATCTACTAAAAAAAATAGGTAAAGACAAGTAGCTAAGATAATTATCCTTATCATCGGTTCTAACAATAAGTAAAGAGTAGATTGGAATCATATAATTCAAAGCACATAATCCGATAATCAAGATACCGCAAGTTTTATATAACATCAAAGTAATTGTACTTGATCGACAAGAAGAGTAACATTTGAACCAACTACAAATGCCATAACCGTGAATTTATCCGGATTCTCAACTACTGTATCCAATGTTTGCAAGATACACAAATGAAAGAACATGTTTACTCAGCTTTTTTTTTTAATTTGAATACATAAAAGAAAATATTAAAAAGAGAAGAAAAAGGCAAAATCTAAAGAAAAAACAAAGACAATGCACATTATTAAATGATAATTATTTTTGGTTAAGCAATTGACCCAATAAAAGTAAGGATACCCAACTCTAACAAAGACTATAATTATCCAAATTTAAATTATCATAGAGTGAAAACTAAGAGTGACCCTCCCTCGCTTCTTTTAAAGAAAACGTTATCAAGCGAGAACACATGTCGGATAACCTCCTATCCTATGAGCTTTTTTGCTTAATTGGCTCACTCTCGTTCAAAATATTCAAAAACCAATAGCCAATTAAGTAGAACATTGAGTTTTGTTGATGGCCAAATTATATAATTACTCGAATTTCAATAGAACCAACGAGATCCAACAATTGATAGAGGCTTAGGATAATCCTAAGTCTTGTGTCCAAGTTCTTGAACGACTCTTCCTGGCCAGCTGGAGGTGGCCGATTCTAAACGGAACATTGAAGTCTTCTCCCTCTACGGTCCTTCCTTTTTAAATTAAGCCCACTCGTATTTAGCACAACCAAAGTTTCGAATTCTTACTTTCAACCACAAAAATAATGAAATTCAAATCAAAGTCTTGAAAAAAGAATCCGTTCTTAAACCGAAGAGTCACTCAAAAGTCATTTTTATACATAAAAGCAAAAAATTCCTAATTGTTTCAAATGTTTGACCTTTCTATGACTCCCAAAAGCAAAATTATTCAACTTTCTTCTCCATCACCTTCTAAAAAACCTTTCCTTTTTGTTTTGAAAAAAACAAAAAACCCGAAAAGCAAAGCGAAAAAAGAAAAAAAAAGGAGTTGAAAAGAAAACCTCGGTAGCCTAGGCGAGGTTGTTGGATTTAGTAGAATCCACGAAATAGATAGTCTTGATTTCAACTGGAGATAAAAAAATAAGTGCCATCTTACGGTAATTAGTTAACCAATGGATGAATAATCCTCAAACCTTCTTCCATTTGTAACTCATTAATCCCTTCAATGTTATTCTCAATCCCAATTTATAACAATTTTCCCGGAATAGCAAAATTGAAAATGAAGTACTTGGATAATGATGACTATGATAAATATTACCCATTAAACCGGAGGATGCATGCTCTCCTTGTGGATCAAACCACGCCCATTCATCAATAATTTCTTTCGCTTCTCTCGTACACAATCACCAAGTCCACAAAGAAAAACATATCAACTGCCAAAAAAGACAATATAAGAAGCATAATGGGACGCAAATGCATGGAAAGAAAAAAAAAGCAAGCAAGGAAAAAATTTTCCTTGCAAAGTTGAAGTGACTCGATTTTGAACAAAGCATTGAATTCCTCTCCCTCTATGTTCCTTCCTCTTCAAATCAAACCCACTCGCATTAAGCACCACCAAGTACCAAAGTAACTTTTTCATTTCTACACAAAAATAATGAAATTTAAATCAAACTCTTTAACAAAATTATTCATTGTTAAACTCTCACCTTTTCTATGACACCCAAAGCCAAATTATATATATATATATGGCTCTTTTCTCTTCTTCTTTCCTATTATCGGCAAAAGCTTGATCATTCATCATTTCGAGCTTAAAAATAAGCCTTTTGAAAAGAAGAAGAAGAAGAAGATGTATTGTGAAATTTTAGAAAGAAAGAAAGTTATATATATATCACATGAGATCAATTTTCTTACTTCCAACCTAGCATAGCCATCCATCTTCTTTCTCTCCATCTCCTCATCATTTCTCTCCTCTCTTTACCACGAACTCCATCTTAATTTTTTAAGAGAGAGAAGCAGTGTCACCTCGGAACTTTGCAAGGAGTTCGGGTTTCGAGTTGGGAGGGACGAAGGTGAAAGTGATACTCGTGGAACGGAGGAGTTTGTTGAGGAAGGAGAATGAGGGTTCTTTGAAGATGGTGAGGTCGCGATGGTGGAGATGGATGAGAGCGAGTGCGGCCGCAATTTTAAAGAAAGAGATAAAAGAATTCTAGGTTTTGATGGGTATATTTATTTTAGAGATAAGATTGAAAACTTGGGAAGCACAATCTAATGGTGTAGAAGAGATGAGAAAAAAATAAACGACAAAGAAGCAGCAAGGCAAGATGAACGAGGAAAGGAACAGAGACTTTGAGTGAGTATCCGCAGTAAGATGTCTCTATAACTACGAGTGTTTCAAATAGTAAATAAACAAGTAACACCTCGTTTTATTTTAGTTTTTTTGTTAATGTTAGTTAAGACTTTCCAAAAGAGACACACAATGAAAAGACAAACCTACCATGTTATAAGAAAACCTAAAAGAAGTGGAGCATTTAATGTCATTTACTATTCATTTACATTTTTGGTCCTTGATTTTTTCTAACATATTTGTTTTGATTACTAACTTCATTTATATTTCAATTTAGTCCTTAAATATAGAGAGAAACAAAGAGATTGATGGGAAGAAAGAGAAACTCACGACCGACTCCATGCATTCCAACCGCTTTGAATATCGGTTGTAGCTTTTATTTGTTCATGCTTGGAAAGAAAAATTTGTTTATATTGGTCTAAAAATATGAAATAGTTCGAGGAAAAAGATCGAAATCTCAAAATATATTTGAATTTGATTTGAATTTTTGAGTTTTTTAAATGTATTAAAATGAGTTTGGAGATTATAAATAAGTTTTTTGAGATAATTTTAATGATTTGAGGTATTTTGGAGTAAAACTTATCGCAAAATTGGTTTCTAAAGGGCATAATGTGATACCACAATTTTTCCGTGCAATTTTCGGTGATCATAGCTTCGTTGGAAATTACGAGTCGACTAACGCGTTGTCTCTTGCACTTTACACAAGCGACGCATTTATATATATATATATATATAGGTTGGTCGCGCGTGTTCAATCTGCGCATGCGTGGACTCGGTTCTCAAAACCCAAAGGTGCAAACTTGGTACATGCAAACCTTTTTTTTTTTTTTTTGTGCTTAAATTTTGGAAAACTCATAATTATTTTTTGAGTTTTGCCACAACCTAACAAGGAAGAAATATCAATGATTTTTTTTTTCATGTTTTAGAATTAAAACATATTTCAAATTATATTATTTTTATTATTTGAAATTTATCCTTTCAATTTGTTATTTTGTATGGAATTCTTATCCAATTAATTTTTTATTGTCCTTTCTTATTAATTTTTTTGTTTAAAAATATGATTTATTTTTCTCTATATCTGAATATTGAAATAAATTTTTATGGACATGCTTCTTTTCTTTTATTAAATAAATAAATAAATATAGTTATATGATGTATTCTTATAATTTTTAAATGAAACAATCATGATTATATATATATATATATATATATATATATATATATATATATATATATATATGTTTGATCTAAAAGCTGAAAGAGCATTTTAGTTTTTTTTTTCGAAGTTTTTGAAAAAAAATAATTTTAAAATTAATTAATTGGTAATTAAAAGTAAGTGAGAAAAAAAGAGGAAAATGATTGTTATAAGTGCAAGACCATTACATAGAGACCAAGCATGTGTGGTTTAAAAACAAAAATATTTGTTAAGAAAATATAAAATAAAATTCACATATTTTATTTACTTCTTCTTTATAGAATCAAAATTTATTGAAATTAATTTTGTAAGGGTTTTATTGAAAAATTAACTATACATATTCACACAAAACACTGAACATTACTAACTTTTTTAAAAGATATTTTGAAATTAATTTTCTCATAATTAAATAATTAAAATTATGTTTTCTAAAAAATATATATATATGGTAAATGATTGTTATAAGTGTGAGACTTGTGCACAAAGACCAAGCACGTATGGTGTAGAAAAACAAAACATTTGTTAAGGAAAAAATTAATAAAATGTGTTATTTCCTTTTTTTATTGAAAAATTATATATATATATATATATATATATATATATATATATATATATATATATATGCACACAAAATATTGAACATTTGCTATTTAAAAAAAATGGATATTTTAAAAATTTATCTTTTATTTTGATACATTTTATTGGACTCACTACACGGCGTGGATTATTAAATTAAAATAAATTTTCAAATAATTTCACTCATTCTACCCTTGTAGCACGAGCAACTTACCAGTAAACTAGTAAGTTAGTTGGTACTTATAAATACCATAGCTTATTCTGGATACCGTGACGGCCATTTATAGAGGAACATCTTGATTTCTCATCGGCTAACACCTCTGGCTAGCACAGCAATAGCATCTGATAAGCACTACCAACTGTGAATAAACATTTGCATACTGAGTGGAATCTTGCTGGCTATATCAGCTTTGGAAGGCAAAACCCAGTTACATCCATCGACTAAGTGCTACATGCATAAAATCCAGGCTATTAAAAGCAAACTGGCTCCAAGAACTCAAAAACACAAATCTAAAATCCATCGCCAATGATGCATATACCACTAACCCACTGAATAAAAATGTTGTCTTTATAAATTCACATAGCAGGTTCTTGTACTCAGACTCGCTACTGGACCGAAATATATCTTATATACCCAACAACTATGAAGTTACCGTAATCCCACAATTTAATACATCTATGAATTACAGAATATCCAAAACTACAATTGATCTTTGCAAAAGGGAAAACTTATTTCATGCTAGCTAATATTAGATGTCTCCAAGCCTGGTTGTCATGATAAAACTAGTTTCTCTTCAACTGTATGATGAAAGCCAGGTCACCAACACGGCTGTTTCATGTACTTTGCCAAGGTTCTAAGAGTGCTTTGGCATCTCCACTCGAAAACAGAAAGTTCAGCAGTGCAGAATTGCATAATAACCAACGTTATTATTGAAATACCAATCAGTGGAAGTGTTACCCCCAAACACAAACAAGGGACTGAAAGTATTGAAAGGCATCATGCCCTTCATAACCCAATTCGGCAGGAAATTCAAGTCCTGGTGCTAAATCACTAAGCTTCTTCGATGTATCATCAAAAAGATTCAAGGACATGGCTCTACTGTCAACCGATATCACAACCTTCGACTTTTCTTCCTTTTCAGCCTGAAGAACATTCAATATTGAAAATGCATCAAACTTTTGTTCAGGAAATGCCCTTTTTATACGATGAGGACTCACATGGTGCAGCAAAGACCATCTAGAATAATCAGATGCCATCTCCCAAACATCAAATTCAAAGACGAAACGGCTTCTTATGCCTGCCGAGTGCAAATGACCCCTAGATTCCCCAAAGTACATAATTTCCCGAAATCTGTTTACAGTTGAAAATATAGGAGGCATTGGCATTATCTTCAAACTTTCACAATGTGGTCTGTTCATAACTGCACCAATGAATAGCATGATTGCAGAAAACCCCATTCACAAAGCCACACAGAGATGATGCTTCCAAAGAGCTTTGCAAGAAGCTCCAAGAGCTGGAAAGTGAGGAATATATATAAATTTGGGGATTTTTAGAGCCTCGATAATCAACGTGAAGACAAATGATCTTGTAGTGATGTGACTTTGAGGGATCAAAGGCCAAACAATAAAAACTTGAATATGTTTCCGAATTCCCAAAGTTAGGAATAGGGAAAGAAAGAGTCTTAAATTGCTTGGTAGTGGGATTACAAATAGTACCCTTGAGTTCAGAACCTGCATCGTCAAAACCGCGGCCACAGAAGATGGACATACAAAGGATCAATCCGTTGCAAGAATTCTTTATCTTAAGCCGAAAATAAGGAGACACATTCAAATCGTCAAAGACAGCAACTTTAGAATAAGAAGATGCACCATCACCTTCGAGAGGGACGAACTGAAAAGTAGGAGTGGAAGAGTAAAAATTGTTCAGCAAGAGGGCGTCGGGTGTGGGGTTTAGGATTCGTTGGTGGGAAGCATTCCAGATACAGAATTTTGGGTCAGAAATTAAAGAGAGCCACTGTTTTGATACACACTTGAACTTCAGTAGAGGTTTTGCAGGTACTCGGATGAGAATTTCGGTTAGGAGGTCTTGATTGCCGGCGATTATTTCCGCTGAAGATAAGGAAACGCGCTGCATATCTAAAAATTTCGGTTTTTTGATAACAAAGGCAGAATTTGGTGTGATTTTCATGGATCAACAGGCAGATATCATTTCTTTATAACCAAAGCAATCTTAACATAAACCCAGATCCCAGAAAGCAATACAATTCAAAACCAGAGACTTAAACAATATAATCAACCAAAGTGAAGAACCCATTTACCAGAAAGGGTTTAGCTTCAATCTCTGAACTGATTCGAGCTGGTGGAAAATTGAGCGTCTTAAAGCCTGCAATTACTTGAACAACGCAGCGGTCTTCCCCTGGTTGTTGTTCCAGTCCAAAACGTCAAGTGCTTGCTATCTCCAGGATTATGAGGTTCTTTGCTTGGTAAGCCCCTTCAGGCTTCAGGGTTAGCTCCTGAGGGTTGAGGCTGATGCTTCCAGTTACAGAGAAACCCCAGGAAGCAATTTTTTCTTGTTTTTCCACGGTATATGTTTTTTTTTTTTGCTCTCTTTCCATCTTTTTTGGGTTCTTCATGACTTCCGCTTTTAAAGTCTTGCTCCTTTATCCCCAAACTTTCTTTGATCTAACATATTCACCCCTGTCAATTTCAGTTAGGATTTTTTTTTTTTTTTTTTGTGTGTGTTCGAACACGAGTCCTCAAGAAGGAAAAGAGAACAAAAAAAAAAAAATTCTTTGTTCCTGACCATGCTCATTGTTTTGTACTAACAAACTTCCAATTGAGTTTTCTGTTGCTACAATATATAGCTTTAATATTCCTATTCTAGAGGAAACAAGACGTGGATTTGACAAATATTCATTGATTTTGTCGACAGCATCTTGATGTTTTGGCCTTAATTCGAATTCTTTCTCTGATTTTAATTTCAATAGAGGTGTGAAGACTTTTGTTTTTCCTTAGAAATAAATCCTCTTAGATAGCTAATTGAACCATGCAAATTTAAGAATTCAACTCTTTTTTCTAGATGCCTTGCCTCTATTATTACTCTCGCCTTATTTATTTTTATTTTTTAAAATTTCTATCTATCTATCTACTGTGGGTTAAAAATCCAAGCAAGTTTCTTAAAGAAATCCATGGGTTGAGTTTTAGTTTGTACTTTCTCATTCTTAAGAAAATTAATCTCAAATAATGTCTATATTCTTGTTGATCTTTTGATTTTACCATGATATCATTATATAAACTTTCATTATTTTTTCAATCAAATCATGAAAAATTGTATTCATTGCCCTTTGATAAACGAGCTTCAATATTTTTCAATTTAAAGGACATGATTATCAATTCATAAGCTCTTGCAAAACCTAGGTATCTAAAAATTGTTTTTGAATATCTTCTTTTATAATGGGTATTTGATTGTAACCAACATAACCATCTATCATGTATAACACATTGACTCTAGCAATAACATCTACTTTGGAATTATGTTGGACATCTATTCTACATTCACTATAGTCTTAGGATATTTATCTTTATAGGTGGTTTTGTCTAAATCTGTAAAGTCAATGCATACTCTAGTTTAGTCATTCATTTTAATAATTGGAATTATGCTTGGACATTTATTCTACATACCTTATAGCATAAACGAATCTTGCATTGAATAGCCTCTATATCTCGTTTTTTATTCTTTACAAGATATTTGGTGTTGCTCTCTTGGTTGGCTTATTGATAGGTTTGGCCCCTATCTTGATTGAAATTGTTAACTCCGCTAGCTCTTTATCCGGGCATGACATGCCACTTGTAATCTCATACAAACAGATTCTTAAATTGTTTCAAAAGCTTTATTATCTCCTTCTTGTCTTCAAGTTTCAAACAAGCACTAATATAAATGATTTTTTATTCATCATCAATGCTTAAGTTGACTTTTTCAAGAGGATTTGCTTCTCCGTATACCTTCTACTACGGGTGTTTCAATCTACAACTCTATTGGTTCTATTGTTGTTGACTCATCATTGGTTGTTTCCTAATTTAGATAGTATTCTAGCATCAATTTTTTTTTCCAATTAGATACCTCATGAGTCTCTAAATAATGGTTTAGGCTTAATTTCTTCAAGAGCAACCCTTATTTGATTTATTATTCATGAGGAATTGCTTGCATTTTCCTTTTAAGATCCACTTATAAAAGGTGTCTTGTCTAGGCTTTTGTTTATTCCTCCTTCAATTCTTCGATCTTCACGATGACTTAGGTTGAACTATACTTGGTGTACACCTTTATGATTATCCACTCTAGATGATTAGCATTTGCAATGAAGGATTTATCATTTTCATGAATAGTTTAATATTTTTCTCCATTATAGAATAGCATGAGTTGGTGGAAAGTTGAAAGAATACAACTATTTCCATGCAACCAATCTCTTTCTAGCAATATATTATAGTTTGAAATTGTGCCCACCACAAAAAAGATTGTGTTGGTAGTTAGTATTTTTATATTCAAACTTACTAGAAATATATATTTCTCTTGTAACATATTACATACACACGCACCTACAAAAATCTTAGTGGGTATTAATTCCTCCTTTATTATATCTATGACATCAAGCATACATAGAGGGAGAATATCTATAGTTGCACAAATATCCACCAAAACCTTAATAACTAGAATCTCATTCATATTTACTTTGATATAAAAGGCTTTAAATGAAGAAAAGCCTTTTTTCTAGGTTTTTCCAATAACGTCTTTATTTTATCTCATCCTTTAGTCTCTCCATATCCGTTTTGGATGACTAAATCTGTCTTTATATAATTTGTTTGAAGGTAATTAATGTTATATTCTTTTTGCACCTTTTTTACCTAAACGGTCTCATATAGGACTCGGAGATTCATCCATGACATCTCTTTTTAATATGGCTACACTCTTCTAGTTTGTAGAACATTTTTAGGACGAGTAGAGTGATCATATTGCACTCGGCTCTTAAAAAACCTCGATGTATCTATAGTTTGTTTCTTCATCCATTTGTAAGTTAACTTCATCATCCTACAAGGCTTCTAACATTTTATCATCTAGGTCTTTTTCTTTTTTATTCCAATGGACTAATTTTTTCTAGCGTGTTATGGACTCTTGTTAGACATTCGTTCTCTTTATCATCAAACTCTTCGACACCAAACCTAATTATTAGGTTATTGTGGGTCTAATCGATGATAAAATCCTGTCTTTTTTTCTTGCTAAATAGCTATTTTCTTTGTAATCCCCTCGATTTGGAAGGTGGTAGCTCTTTTGTGCTCGCATCTTTATTAAAGTAATTATGGCAACTCGTTTTGGCTTTTTATTATGCCCATTTCTTGTATGTTATGTTTTGTGCTTTACTATTCATAATAGTTCATCTACCTTCATTATTGGTAAAGTCTTCATGACTAGCCCTCTCAAAAGTTATAAAGTCTTATAATATTTGATAAGATATTGTAATTCTAAAAAAAAAAAAAAAGTGGTGTTTTTCTTGGGCTTTTTGTGATAGAACTCGTATATACGAGCTCTTTGATGGTCTTTCCCTTTATTTATTAAGGTTCATTCCCTAAGAGGCTAACTTTTATGATATCATTAGCTCACACTTTTTGCATAATGCACTTCTCAAAGTTTTAAGATTTTTAAAAAGTATGGATACTTCAGACCTTCGATCATCATTCCTCTAGAAAAATCCACTCGCAATCACAAATTTAGATTCCAAACATTTTTGTTTTATTGATTCAAACAAATATATGAGATAAAAAAAACTTTTAATTTATCTCTCGTTAGAATTAATTTGCCTTTGAATGACATTACTCTTAACAAACCTCCTAAAGGCGGAGCGGTATTAGTGGTGTGACTATATGTCATAAGCCACCTATATAAGAGGTCATTTTCTTACGACTTATCCATATGTGTAAAATTTTAAAAGTTTTGTTTACACCGGATGGTTAAAATATTCATTTACATATATGGTATTAAATATCACTCGCATACTTATTATTATTAAAAGTATTAAAAAACATGATCACCAATTAGAAATGAGGAAATCATATTGACTAAAAGGTATATGTATTGATCATATTGAAGTTAGGAAAATAGTCTTTATCTATACAATTATGTTTCTATTCTCTAAAAATTTCAAGCTTTTTTGCTTCTATGAGATCTTATATCACATTCTTAAACACTAGGTAATTTTTAGTTGTATGACCAACAACATCATGCCACTCTGTTTTGTCTTTTTGCTCTTTTTCGATTAAGATCCTACATTTTTCTTTGAACTTCACCCTCTTGTTGGTTACCAACTAATTAAAAATCTAATTAGCTTGGTTTCTATTAAAAGAGTAGTGCCTCTTTTCATTAGGTTTGAGTGATTTTAAAGACTTTGCTTTTTTTTTTTTTTTTGAGGACATCACAAGCCGGAGGTGTTCATGGATGAACGTTAAAAAGTCTATTTCTCAAGAACTTGATTCCTAACAATGGTTTCAAAGATCTGTGGTTTTTCTTTCTCTTTCTTCTCTTAGTAAATTTTCATACTTGGCTACTCTTACCTCTTGCTCATATACATCTTTAAACTCGATCATTTTAAATTTCTTTATAAGTTCAAACTCTAGTCCTTGTTAAGATGTTGCTATAAATTCCTTTCCAAGGATCTTTTGCCCAATATTTAGCTCTAAGCTCTATAAATCCATTCGGGTACTCTTTAAAATATTCACCAACATAGTTGTTTTTTTAGCCTTATTTTAAGTTCTATTTTAGAAAAGTAAGCTTGAAAAATTGATTATATTTCTCTTCATGTGTAGATGGAATTAGAGGCCGGATTGATGTACCGGGAAGATGCCCTACTAGTTAAAGAGTTAGGGATAACCTAAACTTTTAGGAAATCATGTCTATAACCTCCATGCATTGGCAAATAAACCTTGCTATGTATTCTATGGTTGTGATTGACCCTTGCTCATTTAACATGATGAAATCGGGACACATAAACGTAGGAGGGTAAGGATATTTTCTATCAATATAGTCGGGATAAGAATGGCTATATGTTGGCTTGATTTGTTAGATTTTTGGACCGAAAGCTCGTTTTACAATCGTTATGATGTATTTAGGATCGGATTGCAAGTGGCTGCATAAGGATATCACAATCCGGCCTTTGATCATTGATAGGTATTCCCTACATTCTAATGTGATTTTTCCCTACCTCTTTTATTTATAGGCCTATAGTTATGATTCCTAGCTTTTGTAGAATCATAAAGGTTTGCAAAGGGTTCTCTAAGACTATTGGTTTCTCTTATCACTATGGATTTCTATATAGGTTGGGCGGAATATATTAGCTTTAAAAAGTGGATTATCAATTCTTTCAAAACCACTTACATCTCTATATGAGTCAAAATGGGCTCTTTCGGTGGATTCACTCTAGAAGGTCTTATTTGATCAACCCTATTAGAGAGTCTTTTATCCATCTAGTTTCCACTTCTACATCCATTTGTTTGGAGATTTTGTGAATAGTTTTGGACATAATGTGATTAAAATCATTAATCACAACATTTTTTTCTTTCTTTATCCTAGATTCTAGGTGGTTGTTCACATCCATTAAAGCTCGGTTCAAACATATATGAGCTTGTCTCTCTAAAGTTTGAAAAAATCTAAATCATGCATTATTCTTGTAATTGTATTTTTTTCTTTGACGTTAAACTCTACTAAAGTGTGTGCGATTTTACTATTGGCCAACATTAATTCTTTATAATGGTTCTCTATTGATCATATTTTAAGTTTGTGTTTATCTTTTATCCGTTATGTTAAACCTTGATATTTGATTTCTATCAACTTACAAACTTCTTTAAACCTAGCCTCAAATTGGTTTTGCCTCTCCTCAATCGACAAAAGGATAGAAACATTAACTATCACTTCGGCCTAATTGATTTTAACCTCTCTTATCGTATGATAATTTTTGTTATAGGGGGACGATTTTTGTCATCTTCGTCCCAAGTCGACATGACTCTTATTGCTTCCTTTGGTGCCATCTAGAATAACACTCGTCATTATAGTCATCGAAATCTGTTGTGGGTTCTTTTATGTCGGCCTCAACTAAGAGAACTTTATAAGAAAATAATAAAATAATGATAGGATAATAATCTACAAAGCAACCTATCTTTTAGATTGGAAAGTAAATAATCATAATTAATTATGCTAAAAACGCTACCGCTTGTTCTAATGATGTTTTTGGTGTTTTATCTTAATATAGAGCTAAATTAAACAAGTGACAATTGGTATATAAACCCTTAAGAGGGGTTTCCAATCTACCCAAGTTAGTTGGGTTTCAAGTTTATAAGAACCATTACTTACAACAACGATTATTCTAAACCGATAATTCAAACTTGTAGATTAATATACAATCAAAATAACAAACTCAAACTAAAAATTGAAATATTACATAATTAAAATAATGAAAAAACAAGGTTGTAATATTGATAATAACCCGAATAACTACGAACTTAAAATCCTTAACGATATTTGAATCAATCAAAATGTTGTAGTCTTTACAATGCTCAATTTGAGAAATAAGGACTTACATTCATGGAGAAATATAAATATTTATAGATTGACACTTTAGACATGATAATCTTTCAAGGAACTAGAATCATGATCATTGCAAACACGAGAGATGAGAAACAAAATTAGCTATCGACCTATAAATTACTAACCTAATAGATTATTGTTTATGAATTACTCGTAATGCCTACTAACTACAACCTAACAAGTTTCGAGTCCGTTGAAACTTGAAAAAATGCTCTTAGATCTATTTGCAAGAGTTTATTTGTATGTCTGTATTGCTTGTGTGTTTTGTCCTTTTACTCGTAGTTAGTATTTATAGATTTCTTATTCTTCCATGATCTTCTATAGTGGGTCACTTTCTTTTGTGTTTCACCACGTATCTAATATTGCTCCATGTTCTTCCTTAGACTATTTTTTTTTCCGTTGCAATATGCCACGTTCTTTGTAGCCTTTTTGCCATTCTTGTGTTGTAATGTCCCACGTTTCTTTTAACTCGCATAGATCATGTTTTTATTTATGCTAGATTTATTTTAGTCTTTTACTAATTACTTGTTGATTAATTCTTCGATTAAATAAATTTTTTTTCATGTTCTTCTCATAATTCAATCTTATTAAGAGTCCATGGCTCACATGTCTCTCGCTATTTTTTTTTTTTTGTAAGTCTTCTAGTTTATTTCATCCGAATTGGGCTTTTTATCGTTGTGAGTAAGTGATGAACCATATATATTGAAAATGATTCATGTAAGAATCAATTAGAAAATGGCTTTTAAGTGAAGTCAATCAAGAAGGAATTTAAAAGAAGAACCACTTGAAAAAAAAATTATTCTTTCCTTCTAATTTATTGAACTAAAGTCCATATTAAATTTTGGTGTAACAAACCCCGAAACAAACAATATGGTATCAATAAATTCTCATGAAATTTTTATTTTCTTGAGTTCTTAATTAATTTAGCATTTGAAAGTACGTTATTTGGAATGTGTTTTATTATTTATAATAAGTTATCTTTTAAACTAAGTGAAAATAAATAAACATAATAACTTTTTTTCCCGACAATATTGAATATTATCGGACCAGATCATATTATACGTCACCCAATAGTTGGAGAAAAGCATAAATTAGGCCGAGATACTAGTTGACCCATTTAGGAAGAAGAAAAAAAGAAAGAAAAAAGAAAAACATCTACCGCATCGCAGGCGCATATTCCTCTATTAGGGTTAGCTTTGTAAATTGAGTCGGTCTTGACTTTTCTCGATTAGAGGTCTCTCTGTCTCTTCTGTCTCTCTGTATCGTCATCTGTTTCTCAAGGCTTACAAAACTCCACGACCGAAACTAAAATCACAGATCTAAATTAATCATCAGCTCACAGAAAGCAGAAAAGAAGAAGAAAGCGATCATGGCGACTCTTGAGGTTTTGCAGATAGTTGAAGAAGGTCTTCTTTCATCTCCTCACCTTGATCCTCGAAAAGGTAGTCTTGATTCTCACAAAAATAGTTTATTTATTTCGTCAAAGTAGTGCTTTTGCTATATTGTTTGAATCATGAATTTCATTAAAAAAACTTTGGCAGCTGAGAATGAAATATCCAAAGATGTGTCCATTGAGAAGAAGATCGATTTCCTCGAGAACTTGACTGGCAAAGTACGTCTTTATGCTTATCTTTTTTTTTTTTCGTGTTTGCAACACAAATATTATGCCTTTATAATTTAATTGTTCATGCTGTGCCTATTGTCTTATTGATATTGTTCAAGATGTATTATCCTCCTGTACTGATATGGGTTTTCTGTTTTTTCCTTAAAGAGCTTATGTGGCTGTCCTTTGATCGCTTTGAAATAGGCATGCTGCTGTTTTTTTTCAACAAAAGATTGCAAATTGTTGCTAATTTATGTTATACTTAGTGCTTTTGGTCATGTTTAAATGCACATTTGACATTGTAAAGGAATCCCATGGTTTTTTATATGGGAAAAAAATGCCTTTTTATTTGCTAGGTACGATGAGTTCAACTAATTGCTTCAAATATGATGTGATAGGATGGTCGTCTCCGGGTGCTATGTATCAATAAACTGAATTACATGACAATTTGCCAGCATGTCTTGTGACTCATGCTATGAAAAGACTTGAAATTTTGGACAGTATGAGGCTTAAAGGGTAATTTTTAGAATTAAAGAGACAATGAAAAAAATAAATAAATTGTAAAGCCAAAGGGTTTTTGTAATACTTGGCCATTATGTGCTTTCAAGAGTTCTATTGATTCAATTTTTTTTTTCAGCTGCAGTTATATTCTTATTGGAATCTGAGGATCTCCTTTTGTTGCAACTGCTGTCCATTTTATTTTCTGGTTTATTGACACAAGTTTTTGTCTTCTTGAATTTGGCTCACGATTTCTAAATATGTGTTGCTAATTTGTTTCTCTAGGTTAGCAACCGTCGTTCTCGGAGATGGTTAAACGATCGTTTGCTGATGGAACTTGTGCCTCGCTTAGATGCAGAAGAAATCAGAGGCTTGTTTGCTCCACCACCTTGGGGTATTGTGACGTCTTAAGGGGTTCTCCCCATTCAGTAATGTTATTATTGGTACAACTATCTAGAACATAAATACTTGGGTGTAACATAGTGATGAATTCATAGCACTAGCAACATATTTTTCCAGTTGTCACAGAAAAGGCAAATAAAGCATTATGGACATTGGGAACCGAACAGCAGATTTTTTGTCATTGCTGAACTTCATGATGGTTGCCTTTTATGATGTATATAGTTGAGATCTGGTTGCTCTTTCTTAAACTTAGTGGTTCTCGAGAGAGCATACTAAGATTAAAAATCTATATGCAAAACATGATTAGTGCAATTAAAAATAACAGCCACAAAGCCTCAAGACTGGATGGGGATTAGTGCAATTAAAGAAAAAAAGACAAATTGATGAGGATTTTGAAGACACAAATTTGTTCGTTAGCGTCATGTGCTATAATGACAGTTGTGCTCAGGTCAAAGACTAATGGCACTTTAGGGAAGTATTGATCTAACGGATACCCTATTTGCTGTGATCAGTTAACAGTGTCTCTTTTATGATGTGACATATTGGTCTTGATGCTGGAATCTCTTGTACAGGTGATGATGTACCACTGTCACCATTTTGCTTGACTAATGTGGGAGAGTGGGACAAGTTTAGGAATATAGACATGGACAAGCAGGTTTTTTTGCTTATCTTGTTTATAAAATCACTTTTCAATGTTTTAAGCTCTCTTCTATTGAAGAACATATTCAGTTTCATTCATTTCTTATTTGAAGATTTGAGCTGAAGTGTGATTTATTGGTGAGTAGACCATCTTTATCATGTAAATGAGTTGGAAACACAAATTATTGTCTTAATGATGGTCTGGTAGATGCAGTAGTTATATATTCTAATTTTATCTTTCAATTCTCTGTGGTAGGCTAATATTATTGACAGACTAAATAGGCAGTCTGCCAAAAGGGAAGGTCGTGTTGATGCTGATAAGATGGCTGTATTGAATGCATGGCGTAGAATAGATTGCCGAACTAGAGATGCCCTTCGTCGTAGCTTCCTTATAGAACTTATTGAGAGCTATGAGGTACATACTTGCCTTGTGCTTGATTGAAATGATTAAGGACGTGGGTAATTCACAGTATGAAGTGTCAGTTACGTTATTGATTTTTTCTTTATCTAAACTGAGCATATAGTGTATAGCTAATGTGCCTGGACTAAGTTCTACTTGTAATATTATAGAAATTATAGTGTTAGTTTATATGACGCTATAATAATAAATACCTCATGTATAGCTTGAGTTTTTACCACTTCAATTTGCTTGCTGGGTGAGATTTGTATGTGTTAACCAAAATATGTGTTTCTGATTATAGATTTATATGCTTTGAAGGATTTAATGTTAGAATGAATTCAATTGGAAGCTTTTGCCCCGATCGAGTCATCTATTAATGTAATTGATAAATATCATGATTGCTTGCTGAATAGCCTGGATGGTAATGGTGACAAAAGCTTCGTTTCTTATCTCCTATTATTATGCTGTTTACTTGCAGTTTCTTGCTTGTTTCACTTCTTTCTTAAAGTTCCTGTCCTTAGAAAATTCTCATGTCATTATTTTATATCTTGATGCCACTGGTAGATGATTAATACTGTGTCTCCTTAGCTGGTACACTAAAATCAATTCTTCATTGTCATTAAAAGCAGAGAACCTTGTCATTTTCAGGCATGCATCCGGGTCTTCATTCAGGAGGGGGAGATGTTCTCTCATTACAGGTCCAAGATCCCTTTCATAGATTGTTGCTGCATGGCGTCTGTGAGGTAATCTTCATCATTTATTCTGGGAAAACAAAGCAGTCTCTTTACCAATTTACTGATGTAGTCCAAATGGTTTGCTTGCCTTATTTTTAGTAGACACCAAATAAGATTTGTATGGAAAGCACATGGCATGCTTTACCATTATATGTTTTCAATGCTCTCTGATGCTTCTTTTTTTAGTACAGCCATGATTGAATTCTATTTGAATTCTATTTGTACAGTTCTACAACTTGGCCTCAGTGACCGAGTCAAAGTCAAAGGATGCAGAGTCATTGAAGATGACTAAAATAAGGAAGAAGAAAATGGCTGTAGAGCCCCCAAATATCACCCTTTCCCATTTTCTGAGAATGTCCAAGGAAGGCATTTGGTAGTTCCAATGGGATGAAGCTCCAATTGATGTATGTAAATAAATTTGTGATCCATGATGAAGTCCGACTTATGGATGCAACACTCATTAGGATGGAACATCCTGTTCCTTTTGTACCATTGATAACATTTTAGGCTATGTTGGCACATATGTTAGTAAATGAAGGATTTTTGGCAAAATCAGTTGGATATTTGGTTACTTCTGCTCTTTTAAGTGCTGTTGATATCAAATCAATTACTGGATTTGTAATGGATGTTTTGTTTTACTGTTTAAAAATATTGACCAATAAACATTGTGCAACTTTAGTTCCATTTCTTGGTTTCAAGTAGCCGTGAGCATTTGTCAACCAGATATATTAGGTTCTAAATTCTCCGGGACTGAAGGAATCCTTGTGACTCGGTTTTGACTTTTGGTAAGTGAAATTACTTGGGGTTATTTTTAGAGAAATTATGCCAAAATTTGTCTTGATTTCTTTATCTAGGGGTTTCCAACTTGCCACAACCCACAAGTATTCTGAAGATTTTTTCACCTACTCTCAAAGATACAATACAAGCCTGTATTGTGCTACAGCCTTACAACCTTATATCAAGCTTAGAATTTAATTTGCCATGTTCAGAATTCGATGCTTTTATAGACCAAATGGATTAGAAAAGTGGTTCCGTGGAACCAAGAAACATTGAAAACGCAACAACGACAATAGGCGCTATCAACAATCTCACCTACCTGTACCAATGAAGATTTAACACTTGTATGCATGTAACAACAGCGTGAAAAGTATTGCATTTTGAGAAAGATCGCTAGCTAGAAACAGTGACACAATGAAGGGGAAAAAAGAAACTAGGAAAGAAGCATGTTATTGCATTAACAATGGAGACGGATAAATTAGACTGCATTCTATAATGGTCACAAGCATGCATTATCTTCACACTTCTTACTTATGAAACAGTAATTGAAAGAGCTCGTTAGTGTGCCTTCCATACAAAACCTTCTTCACCCTTACACACTGCAATATTCATTTCACAAACGAATCTGAATCCTGCATGTAAATATCTTGGTTTTATCTAAACTGTAGCTTCATTAATTAATCATGTAGAAAGTACGAGTGATACTTGAATTTCCTGACACCACACACCTGCAGATTCTAGACTGTACAATACAATTTAGATCTATTTCACGGACAGAAGAAAAGGAAAAAACATTTTGATTTTACTGAACATATATAACCGATGCAGTCAACCGCAAATGAGATAAATTCAAAAATTGCTTCCAGAATAACGAGCACTTAAAAATTCTTGCTTCAGACACAGCATGTATAAGATGACATTGTACGACCATTCAAGAGTTGGAGAGTTTCATCTGCCAAATGTGTAGTTCTATAAATCCAACGACGCTTCTGTCCACATCAAGATTCAAATGCCAAAACAGGAAAACTGTGCAAAGAAGTATAAAGATTGAAGCAACTGATAAGGAAAAAAATAAAAATAAATAAAAGCCAGCAAAGGAACGATCCTATTAATGCCAAACAAAGTACACATTCTGCCTGGTCCTATTGTACAGACTGCTTAGAATCTGTCCAAGGGTGCACTCAATATTTATTGCAATTACAAGAAAAACAGTATGGATCAAGTTTAATCAGCAACTGTAAGCATGAGATCATTCCTGTTTCTAAAACATAATAGACTAAACTATTTCCTAACAAAGAAACAGAAATTAAAAATTAGCAATTGGCCTATTCTCGCTCATAAACAAATGAGGGACCGGAAATATGGATAGGCATCATATATATTACCCCACAAAAGTACTGGTATTGATCTAGCATAACTTGTAGGCTGCAAATCACAAATCTTGGTTGCTATCCCATCATGAAGATTATAGGATATGGCTCTATAGGGTATGCCTTTATGATCCACAACTATCACAGCCATCAACTCCTCTTCCTCTATTCCACCTTTAATCATTGTCACTACACTAAATCCAAAATGCGTATCTGTGAGTTCCGGAAAGACCTGTGTCATTGATTGAAGATTCACATGATACCTTAAAGACCACCCTGAATAATCAGATGCCATTTCGGGAACATCAAATTCAAAATAGGAATGGTCGTTGTTCACCGCCATAAGCAAATGACCCCAACACTCCTCAAAGTATTGAATTTTGCAATGCATTCTATCCCTTGAAAAAATCGGCAGCTTTGGCATTGTCTTCAAGGTCTCACTATCAACATCAAAATATAAAGAGGTATCTCTGGAACTATGCCAATGCATTGCACCATTGAAGAAAACTTCTCTAGATTCTATATCATATGGCAACGGCAACGGCAAAGCTGATCCCAACATACTCCAAGAATCGTCTTCTGATGACTATACATCAATGAACTGCGTTTCCTTTGCGATAATTATATAAATGCAAATGACCTTATAGTGAGGTGGTTTTAAAGGATCAAAGGCCAAACTAAGACTCACAAGTTCATCACTCACATCAACAGCATGAAGTTCATCAGAAGGGACAAAAAGAATCTTGAACTGCTTAGTGATGGGATTACTAAAACCTCCACGGGGATTCACAGCCACTGCAAAGAAACAAGCCATTACGAGAATCATCTATTGGAAGATGAGGAACATTGAGAAAATCAAACAATCCAACTTCGGGGGATATGGCATCTTTAGAGTCTTTGAGAGGGATAATGTCGAATTCAAGAGCCGAAGAGGAATCCTTTATGAAAAGGACAGAAGTGGGCGCGGGGTTCAGGAATTTTTGAAGGCGAGAGTGAGAAAATCGGAATTTAGGGTCAGAAAAAGAGAGAGCCGTTGCTTAGACACAGACTGAAACTTAACGAGTGATTTAGCCGGCAAAAGGAGCAAGATTTCGGTTAGAAGGTCTTGATTGCTGCCTAATATTGTTTCTGTAATATGTCCAAATTTCGCTTCCATCCTGTCGCTCATTTCTTTAATATCTCAATAGTTTCTGAGCTTGGCCACCTTTCGTCGTGCGAGTCTCTTCAGAAACTTTTCTTCCATTTTTTTTGAAAGAACGTAATATCATCTGTTGAGGTGACCACCACGATGATGCTTCATCGAATACAAAGCTTCATGATGCATAGCAGCAGTTGGTTATTTATATCCTTCCAGGTGAATGCATATATATATATATATATATATGTATGTATGTATGTATGTATGCATGCTAAACCAACAGCTTAAATATTATGATTGCATTTACGTCATAGTTTTGTATAGTTTATAATAATTAATATCTGACCAATATTGCGTGCCATCTCAAACCAAAAATCAATATCCAGATTTGCAAAAAACTAAAAATATATGATTTTGCATACACTGTTTAACAACACCATTTTTTGCAAGGTTGGACGATAAAGATGCAAATAGAAATAAATTACGTGTCGCTTTGGCAACTATGATTTTTTAAAGCTTTTTGGGGCTTTGTTTTCGAAAAGCTGTTTAAAAAAGTATTTGGTAAAATTTTAAAAGTTGGTTGAAAACCATTTGGAAGCGAAAAGTCAAAAGTTACAAAATAAAACTTTTGGGTTTTTTAATTTTATACAACACAAAAACATTTTAGCAATACACACACATATAATAACAGTCAAACTGCAGCTATGGTCGCAACGACAACCATAGTTAAAAACTATTGCTTGGAAGTTTATTAACTAGAGATCCAAAAGTTACCATCACAACAAACACCATCTGCCACATCTGGATTAAAAAAAAAAAAAAGCACTTGATTGTTTTATCTAAGTGGTAAAAACTCAATGAGTAGTGCATGAACTGATTGCCTCTTAAAAATATCATGATATAGAAAATTCGATATTTGTTTTTTTAATATTTTGATTATCCATTATAGGGGATATGCATAGGTTGCCCTCAAAACTAATGTTGTTTATTTTTTTTTTTGTAATAAATGTATTCTATATAATTTGATTATGCACCAAATTAGAAAATTATATTTCAACTTATAAAAAAAAAGGTTGCTCTGATTATATATTAATTCCTTATGATCTAAATTATTGAAAATTAAATTTTAAAAAAATAAAAAATTCACAAATTTAATAGATACAATAATTGTTGACAATTTATTAGGAATTAAAAAAATTTAATTTTGAAACTTGTGCGAGTCAATTTTGACAATCTCTAAATTTCTTCTTCTTCTTCTTTTTAAATTTAAAACAACAATAAAGAAATATATTGTCTTAAAAAAAAAATTAAAGAGTCAAAAAAGAACAAAATTGCATAATTATTGTTCTATCAAATGAATTTTTACATGAAATTTAAGTTTGTGTTGGGAATAGTTTTAGTAGTGCTCAAAAGTCGATTTGGAACTAGGTTCGATTTGAAACGAGGTTTGGGTCAAGATCGGGTACGAAGAGTCGGGAAATTGGATCTAGGTCACTAGAGATTTAGATCGAGACCAGGATTGAAACTTTCGAGATTTGGGTCTCGATTGAATCCGAAGCATTTATGATATGGACTTGGATTGAATCCAAAACGTATGGAGTTGGGTTTGAGGGTTGAGTTTAGAACTCTAAGATTGAGTCAAGACCGAGTGCGAGGCTTTAAAATTTAAGTTGAGGTTGGGTCTATGGCATCTCAAAATCATATCATGAGCCTTTGAGTTTTGAGTCCGGAAATCTAGGAATTAGTCCCAATAACTCGGATACGTAATTAAAAATCTAAAAATAAAAACATAAAAGAAATTAAAATGAAGAAGTCATCCATGTGTTATAAAATAATGAATGTCCATCTACCTTTCATATCCCCATTACTCATAATCCTCAATGTGATTCAATTCACCATTCAATATGAGAAATTGAAAGGGTGATGCAATTGATGTACTTTTAATTATTGATAGTCTCTTCCGATTCTCATCTCAATTTTGAGGCCTATAAATAGGCTTGATTGTTCATTTGTTGATGTACAAGTTTTTAGAGAGATTAAGAGAATAACTTGAAGTTTTCTCACTTGTATTCACTTTATAGTGAATTCTTCTTCTTGCCATCCTTCCTTTAAATTCTCATATATCTTTTATTTTTCACAACACGTTATTAGCACGATTGTTCTACCAAACGATGCAAATCATCTAGCCTATTAAGAGGTATGTACCTAATCTATCTTTTATTTTAAATCTAATAGTACATATAATATATATTTGAAAACTTGAATAATCTAATATATATTCTAATAATCTAATGCATGTTGTTTTGAGAAGTTTGAATATTATTATTATGTTTGTTTTTATTTTCTAACATCATTATTATATCTTGTATTATAGAATTTTTATCATGTCAAACCTTACAAAGCTTGATTTTGTGGCCCTTGACATTTCGGGCAAGAATTATTTATCATGATTGCTTGATGCTAAGTTAATATCATCCACTTTTCATGCCTCGAATATGCTCCCGTAGTAGCATATCGAGAAAAAGAGTTTAAGAAATATTGTGGATCGATTTCATACTTGTTAATGACTAAATAAAATGAAAAAAAATAAATCTCATCCAATTGGATCTACTCCATTCCCCGAAGTGAATGTGACAATTTATAATAATTTTAGACATGGATGAAGATGTGGTCATAGCCATGGATATGATCAAAATAATTATCATTATAATTGTGATGACCACAATATTACATCTTACCACCGGAATTGGATAACTATGAAAAAAAATGAAAATAGATAATGTCGGCATTCTGAAAATGAATATTATAAATATGGTATAAATGGACATTCGTCGTGTACCTGCCGTACACCAAAGCACCTCATCAAGCCTTGTCAAACCTCATTGAAAAAGAAAAATAAAATAAAATATGGAGGCTAATTTTATATATCAAAGTAATAGTAATTGAAATTAATTACTTGTTAGTTTTTATATTTATAAATAAAATATTTTATATTTGTTATAATTTATGTTGTATATTGATGGTTACAAATTTATTTTACTATTTATTTATTTGTTTATGTTTATGAAGCATATATTGATTTATTTATTTTGTATTGATTTATTTGATTATTTATTTTATGTTAATATTATATATGATAATATCAATTCAATAGAAAGCTTTAGAAGAGCGACTATATTATTATCTAAAAAAATAGATTTTAAAGGCTTTAGAAGAGCAATTATAGCATGACTTGAAGAGATAAATTTTTGAAGCTCTAGAGGAGTGAATAAATTATTACTTGAAGAGAAAATTTTTAAAGGCTCTAGAAGAGTCAATATATTATTACTTAAAGTGACTAATTTAAGGGCTCCGGATGAGCAAATATATTATTATCCGAAAGGATAAATTTCTTATAAAGGATGTACTATTCTCTTCAAAGACTCATATAAATTTATTGAGTTTCAAAGATATTCATCTAAATTGATATCATATCAAGATAGCAAATGTGAATGCTTGTATATTATAATCATTATACCAGGTAGAAAATACGTATTGAAAATTTACTTGCTTTATCTTCTAGTCTTTATTACAAATATTGAAATAATTGAAACAAATATTATAGTAAATCAGAAGTTTACTAATTCAAATACTTTTATTATGTAACTCGACCAATTGTGCTATATTAGGTATTTCATGATGTGAAAAATTATTAAAAATTCATATGAACATCTATTGAAGAGACGAGAAGATTCTTCAATTTAATAAACTTTCATGTCGCTGCATGTTGCCAAAGCAAATTGATGATTAAGCCATCATCAAGTAAAATTTAGATTGAATCTTTAGTATTTTAATATGTATTTAAGGTGATATATGTGGATCAATTCATCCACCATGTGGATCATTTAAATATTTTATGATTTTGATTAATGCATTAACAAGATGGTCACATATATACTTATTATCTACTCGAAACTCGACGTTTTCAAGATAGTAAATAATTTGATTTCGAGTATAATTTTTAAATTATGCCATTAAAATAAATCACCTTGATAATGCTCGATGAATTTATTTCTCAAGCATTAAATTATTATTGATTGGCTATTAAAATAAAGGTTGAACATCCTGTTGCTCATGTTCATACTCAAAAAGGTTTAGCAAAATCATTTATCAAAAGACTCCAATTGATAGTTAAACCATTATTTAAAAATAAAACTCTCTATTTATGTTTAGGGATGTGCAATCTTACATGCAGCAACACTTATTCGCATATGACCCATAAGTTATTAGAAATTCTCTCCTCTTCAATTGATTTATGGTCATGAGCCAATTATTTCTTATTTAAGAATTTTTGGCATTGCGAGTGTATATCCTTAGTGTTCCTCTATAATGAAATAAAATGAGCACTTAAAAGAGATTGGAAATATATGAATCCTTTTCGATAATTCAATCTCTTGATTCATGAACAAACAAAAATTTTTACAGACTCGATTTATCGATCGTCATTTTGATGAAATAGTTTTTTCAACATTAGGGGGAGAGAATAAGCAAAATAAGCGAGTTGGAAATGTTGAAAAAAAAATTACATGGAGTACTCTATCTTATATCACCTTGATTCTTGTAAAAGTAATATGAACTAGAAGTTCAAAAGATAATTCATTTACAAGGTATTGAAACCAACCGCCAAATGCATTCTCAAATCTTAAATGAGTAACTAAAATACATATCCCTGCCGAGAATGCTCCTATTATAATTAATGTCCCGGAAGGATAATCTATTAATATTATAGCTAACGAATTTAAAGCACGCCCGAAGCGTGGAAGACCGATCGGTTCTAAAGATAAAATTCCCTAAAAGAAAAAAGCAAGATGAAAATATTCGCAAAACGATCCAATATATTTATGATAATAGGCTTTCGAAGAAGTCCAAATACTTGAGAAAAATCAAGAGATTTTGATAAATTATATCAATGCAGAGAGAAAATAGGATCGAAAAGAAACATCTATTGATAAGATTTTTGCATATAATATTGCAATTGATATTATGGATGAAAATAAGGATCATGAGCCTAAATTATTGAAGAATGTCGACATAAAGATAATTAGCCTAAACGAAAAGAGCAATGTAGGCGTAATAATGTTTTCTTATAAAATAGTAGTTTTTTGAACCCATAGCTAAAACACTCGAAGATGTTAAGTTAGTGGGATACAAATATGTATTTATGCGAAAATGAAATAAGAAAGATGAGATTATAAGATATAAAGGAAAACTTTTAACACAAAAGTTTTCATAAAGAATTGACATTGACTATGAAGAGACATATTCTCCTATAGTGGATGCAATTGTCTTTTATTATCTCATTAGCTTGGAAAAATGTATGAAAAATATTTAAATGAATGCATTTAATGAATGTGATCACAATTTATTTATTCATTTGAAATGATATCGGTATGAAAATCCTAGAAGGACTTAACATACCGTAAGCATGTAATACATATCCTCGAGAAAAAAAATTTAATTAAATTATAGAGGTCTCTATTAGGATTATTTTAGTATTTATTTTATTATTTTAGATTTTAGAAATTCAATTTATACTTTTTATATTTTATTTTTATATCTACCGTTTATTACTAACCCGTGTATATGTGATATAATCATTTCAATGATTATTTATTGAAAGAAAGTTATAAAAAATAACTCTATTTGTTCATATGTTTTTATTTGAAAAAGGGTTTGTTTTATATGTTGATAACTTAAATATTATTGAAACTCCCGAAGAGATTCTAAATGTCATAAGTTACCTAAAAAGAGAATTTGATGTGAATATCTTAAGAAAATAAAATGTTATCTCGACTTGCGGTTCGAGCACTCGAAAAATGAGATTTTCATTCATCAATCAATTTATATCGAAAAAGGTTCTACAATGATTATATATAAAGATCATTCATTGCTAGCCCAATGGTAGGTCATTCACTTGATATCCAAAAAGACCCTTTTTAACCTTGAAAAGATAAGGAAGAACTACTTGGTCCTAAAGTACCATATTTTAGTGCCATCGGTGCATTGATGTATCTTGCTAATAATACTCGACTTGATATAGTCTTTTCTATAAATTTATTAGCAAGATATAGTTCGCTCCAACACGGAGACATTGAAATGGAATTAAACATATATTATGTTATCTCCGAGGAACAAGTGATATGAGCTTATATTACTCACTTTAACAAATCAAAGAATGGATTAATTGGTTATGCGGATGCGGAGTTATTTATCCGATCCACACAAAGCTCGATCTCAAACTCGGTTATGTATTTACATATAGAGATACAACTATATCATGACGTTCTATGAAGCAAACTATAGCTGTCACATCTTCAAACCATGCAGAAATACTAGCAATTCATGAGGCAAGTCGAGAATGTATTTGGTTAAGATCAATGACACATCATATTCAAGAGACATGTGGTTTATCCACTAGCAAAGAAGTTTCAACGAGTCTTGTATGAAGACAATATCGCATGCATAGCTCAATTAAACATATGTCACCAAAATTATTTTTCACACATGATCTTCAACGAAATGGTGATATTAATGTTCAACAAATTCGATCAAGTGACAATCCAAGCAGATTTGTTCACTAAGGCATTATCTATCACAATTTTTGAGAAGATGATTCACAAGATTGAAATGTGTCGTCTTAGAGATCTTAAATAACGTCTTCAACAGGGGAGACCAAAATGGGCATTAATGTGTGCAAGGAATAATGTACTTTTTTTCATTCATTAGGATTTTTTTCCACTAGGTTTTTTCCTAGTAAGGTTTTAACGAGGTATATTCCTTGTACAATAGACATTCAATGGGAGTGTTATAAAATAATAAATATCTATCTACCTTTCATATCTCCACTATTTATAATCCTTAATGTGATTCAATTCACCATTCAATATGAGAAATTGAAAGGGTGATGCAATTGATGTATTTTTAATTATTCATAGTCTCTTCCAATTCTCATCTCAATTTTGAGGCCTATAAATAGGCTTGATTGTTCATTTGTTAATGTACAAGTTTTTAGAGAGATTAAGAGAATAACTTGAAGTTTTCTCACTTGTATTCATTTTATAGTGAATTCTTCTTCTTGCCATCATTCCTTTAAATTCTCATATATCTTTTATTTTTCACAACACCATGCAGTTTTTCAATTTTTTTTAAAAACAAATAACAAAAAATAGAAACAGAAAACGAAAATGACAACGAAAGGTCCCTAAAATTTTATTAACTTTTAACAGTGGAATGTCTTGAAAAATAAGGTCATTATTAGAAATTTTAAACTATAATGACAAAAATCAAACGATACAAGAGATTCAGGGGTAAGATATAGCTTGCCCAATCGCATTACTAAGACTATGATTCTAGGAGCATCAATCAATCATTACAGCTAACTACAAATTAAAAAAAAAAATCCTTTCAGAAACTAGTCTCGCAGCAACAAAAAAATGTCAGCTCTACCAGACGAACTCTGGAGACAAATTCTGGAAATTGGAATAAAAAACTCAAAATTCAACTACAAAGATCTTTGCTGCATCTCAATCTCCTGTAGACGCCTCAACCGTTTATCCTCTGAGGACCCCCTCTGGTCCCATTTTCTCTCCTCGGATTTCCCTTCTTCAAATCAACGAAACCCTAGCCCTAACACTAACCCCAACAGCAACAATTCAACTTCAACATCAGTTAAATCAACTTATAAAATCAAGTATCGTACTATTTCAAATGCGAAATCTTTATTATTATTATTAGTATTAGTATTTTGTGCTGTCGTTTTTGAATTTGATGCTAAAATTGTTCAAAATTAATATATTTTTTGGATTAGGTTTGATAGGGAGAAAGCGAGGAAAGTAGCGGCACACAGAAGGGCGGTGCTTAGGAAGGAGAGTGAAGTTTTGGAATTTGAAAGGAAAATTAGAGAAATTGAGAATGGATTGCGCCAAGAGACGGAGAAAATGAGAGCCGCAATTACTGAATTGTCCAATTTACACAAGGTCAGGTAATCATTCTTTGTCCTTTGTATTGTTGTTAAATGGATTGACTGTTATGTTTAATCAGTTTGTATTCGAATAATTAAATGTCATGTTGCAAATGGTTTAGAGTATTAATGGGGGAAAAAAAGCGAAAGAAAAAGAATGGAATAGCAAGAACTACTTCTCAGTAATAGTAGCATGTGAGATGATTATGATTCGGATCATGGAATCCATGATTAGAATTGATTTTATTTGACTATCGTTGTTTATTAATATGGAACAATGAACAAAAAGGAACCTTCAATTACTCCAAATTTTTGCAGCTAAAGACCGTATACATCAAATGTAGATGTTGAGGTTTTGTTAACTAGAACCCATAAATTTTTTTCAACAAGTGAGATCTCTTTAAAGGAATTAGAGGCTTTATGGTTTATTTGATATCTAGCATCACCAGCATGATAAAAATAAATGAATAAAAAAAAAAAACGAGGAAGTCATCAGGATTTGGGTGAAGTAGGTCACACCTGAAATTCAACCTAAAACATCCTATGAATAACTTAGTTTGCAGAGTAAAAGGCTTGGTTATTTATTTTTAGAAGACCGATAGATTCAGATAACAGAAGCCTGTAATTTGTTGAGTTTCAAAGTTATTTCAATCCTTTAGCATTTGATTTCAGTGAAGAAATTTCCCTGTTTCCTTGGTTTGGATATGCCTTTTGAAGTTTTTGCACTCATGGATGTGAGGTTTTTTCTCCTTTTCTGGTTTTTCAGGCAAGCTTCTGTGGCTTTGAATGTGTGGCAGCCAGAAGTTATTAGGGGTAGGCAAAAGCAAATAGTGGAGCAGAGTGCTGTTCCAGTTGAATCTCGAGTTCATTCACTTGAGATGGAACTTAAGCTTTGCAGGCAACAATTAGCAGGCTTTGATAAGGCTTATGTAAGTTTTAATCTCTCACTATGCAGTAGTTGGTGTATCAGTTTAGTAGAAATCAAATGCTATATTTCCTGATTTCTCTTATTATTTCATGGCAGAGAGATGAGAAGCGGAGACTTGAGATAGCAAGGGAACAGTTGGCGTCCATGAAATATCATCCAGTACGAGATTATAGGTTGATAAGTAGTGGGGACAAGGAAGGTAACAAAAGGAAGAAGAAGTTGAAAACATCTGTTATCTGTAAGAGCCTCAAACTTTTTGTTGTTTTATTTTGAACAAAATGTTGCTTCTGATTTTATTAACAGGTTGAAATCATTTTGCTTCTCTCCTTTGCTATCTTGTTAGCTCTTATTGTTAGCCTTTATAGATTGGTTTGACTCTGCTGAACTTGATCTTTGCCTGTCCCTCTTTCTGACTCTCTTTCTTTGGACCTTTCAGTTACTGTGTTAGATTAGTTTATATCTTTTGATGGGGAATTTGTGGTTTTTTTGTGTGTCCTCTTGACTAGCGATCAATTTTTTTCCAACTGTATCCCATTTGGTTACTTTGGATGCATATGAAATTCCTTTGCTTTTCAACTTTTTTTTTTCTTAATTTCTATTTAACAGATTCAGAATGGTTGTTGTCTTTGATATGAACTACTAATTCCTTTTTGAGCAAAAATAAATAAATAAATAAATAATGAATTGTTAAAGTGTTGTGATGTTGAAAAATGAAGGATGTTGCAAGGATAGCTGCCATGATACCACGATTAAAAATTCTGTAAGAAATAACTGACCACAAATATAAATATGACACTTATTGCAGTTCGGTGAACCTATCTCCACAACTTTGATAGCACACCGAGTAAAATTTTATATCCTCCTATTATAATTCAGTATCTATTCTTTCCGAAAAAACAGAACACTCTTTCTTTTTCTTTCTTTTTTTTTTAGAAATAATTTTTTCAGTATAAATGTCTCTCCTAATAAAAAAAACACGACCCCTTGGTTTTCTTTCTTCTTATATTAAATGGTTTCAGTCTTATGTGAACTGGAATATATATTATGTTTATTGAGCTAGGTTTATGAGTTTTTGAGCTGATTTATGACCTTGAGCCGAGTTCTTTTGTTAACCAAACAAGATCTAGTTGAACTTTCTTTCAAGTCAAGGTTAAGCTACTGACAAGCAGGTAAACTCGCTTTTTTAGTCTACTGCTCTCCACCTGCCTCTGGTTCTTTGCTTCTGGTAAGCACTAATATTTAATCTTGACAAGAGACATGAAAAATAGCCTATACTTGAAATCATCCTGTCTTTGTTGTTGAATCTAGAGATAGATTGCTGTTATGGGTTATCTCCATGTTAATAAAATTATGGCAGCTTACTGTATAAATTATTGATGAAGTTTGTGGTGGGCACTTAATAGAACAACTAGAATTCGTACTTTCTTTTTCACTGTTTTACCTCAAAACACCACAAAAAATTGTATTACAACATTATTCTTTGGATTGTTTCTCATAAAAATGACTTTATTATGATCTTGACATTCTTGAAAAAAAAAAAAAAAGAGATTTTTGAGCGAAGAGTTTGAGCAACTCTGCAATGAACCTTAGCAGTCTGTAGATATATTGTATATTTTTCATTTAATAAACCTGTTAATATTTGCGAATTGCCTATTCTATATTTTTACATTTTCTTTTTGGTAGGACTTGTAAGACAATCCCTAAATGCCTTGTTAATTGTCTCCCCAGTTCCTGAAAAGCAAGGGCAAAACATCAGAGCAGAGGAGGCTTTCATGAACAACCAATAGCCTGGCTGGTACTGCCATGCAAAAATCTGTAGTTGGTACAGTCATCAGGCTTCTCCTTGATGGATTTACAGAACTTGATTCTCTACTGGGCACTTTACGAGCTTTTCTACAGCAGATGTTGAGTGGTGGAGTTAATCCTTAGTCCGTGAGAATGGGGAATCGTTGTAGAAATCAATTAGGGTTTCTCGTATTAAGTTTGCATAGTCTTATCATCTGCATGTACATGAATCAACTTGCTGTCTGGGCTAGATTTAGATTTCATTTTTGGTTTCAGGGTTGGACCATATTTCTTGGTAGTCCATAAAAGGAACACAGTAGTGTTCGCGTACAGGCCCACGAATCACCCAGAACATCTATTGAGGACGTGTATCTCAAAAATCTCGTAAGCCAGTGTTGTGACATTGATTCTTGTCACCATGCAACGTGTATGTCACTGAACTTTCACAATCAACAACTACACTTTCGTAATCCACTTTACTGACGGATTAGGTGGAGTCTGGAGCGGATGGGAGTCATAACGGTTCCTGATGCAGAACAACTATCATATAACATGTTGTGAAATACAGCGTCCTTTGGTTTGAACTTGGTGTACTTCAGCTCGGAAAGAGGCAGTAGCCCAAGTCTCGTGGTTGAGGCAATTAGGCCTGCAGTCCTCCGACTTTGTGGCTGGAGTGGGCATGCAGCAATCTGACAAGAGAATTTAGCTACTGAAGACTTAATTTTTTGCCAAGAAAGCTGTAAAGTTATCCTAAGTATTGTTGGGATTGCTTCTCGTTCCAACATTCAACATTCAAGGACTTGATTGCTTTGTGTCTGTCTCCTTTAATTATTTTTCTCACTTTGCAGACCAGTTCGTGAGCATATTCAATTAAGGACATCACTTTTATTACTAATATCATCTTAACCACTCTTGATAAATCCAACTTGAATTATTTATCTTGGAACTGGCATGCTTTCAGGGAGAATTTTCATGAGGGATAGAAAATTATAAGAGATCCCATGAGGTTCTACTGATTCCTACTGCTGGGGATGGTTACAGTCCTTCGCAACACACGCTTTGATTAACTTGCCTTCGACATCTTATGCTAAAGCTGAAAAAAAAAACCACACTCTAAAATACAGCCAAAAAGAGAGGGGAGGTGAAATTGGACCGCTAATTTAATGCATTTAATTGTGATAATCAACAAGTTTGATGCATTTAATTGGGACCCAGTAACAAACAAAAGGAAATTGCATTAGCATAAAAGGAAAAAAAATTAAAATATTTTGCAAATGTTGGGTGGTAGTTTTAATAGTTGTTAAAGTAAAATCATCAATGATGAAGTAATAATTCCACTCCGCGTAAACTTGAATGCAAGGCTCCCTACTGCATCAACGCTCATATAAAACCGCATAAATATTTACAGCCAAATTTGGTGGTGCCACTCAAATAGCATACACAGTTTATGGCGTTTTGCTCGGTCCCAAATTATTTCGGTGGTGGGATGGCAATATATGTATGTAGAGAGAGAGAGAGAGAGAGTTAGTGATACGAAGAAAATCGAAATAATCTTCAAAAATCTAAATTTGTAAACAGTTTCTCCAATGGCTATAGGAATCTAAAGATTAGAGTGGTCGTTAACAACTGAATTTTGGTGAGAGACAGAGATAAGAAAGACATTGTGTCTTGAAGAAACAAAGTTAAGGAGGAGGCTTGTTCAGACCGAACTAATTGTTGGGTCGGTCGGTAGCCTCCAAACTACCCCTTTTTGATGGACGCATGCAAATGCAAAATGAGCAATTGAGTGGATGTTCTCGTCAGCTCATTGTTTGTTTCCTTAATTAAGATACTCTCTCGCTGTCAATGTCCGATAAATGTCTTGTCTGCAGAATGAATCTAGCATTTTTCTGAGTGGTGGCAGCTTTTTGGTGGTGATTCGTGGCCTACTTTTAGGATCAACACGTGGTCACTTAGTTAGCCAAGTTACAAGAGAAAAAAGAGGTAACAGCAAAAACAAGATGAATCAAATGAAAAAACTTAAAACACAAACAATTAGAGGTTGATAATTTGATACACTAATAAGCGAGTCTTCCTTCTTCTCCTTTTATTTTATTTATTTATTTATTTATTTATTTATTTATTTATTTATTTTGAGTGAAGTGTAGAGCGTATGATTCTAAAAAACTATATCAAAAAGTGTAGAATATTGCTATGGATCCACACAAGATGTATTGAATTTTAATAAAATACTAGTAAAAAGAATTTGTTAATATAAAATCTAACAACTATTTTGACAATGTCTACTGCCTTTTTTTTTTTAAAAAAAAAAACATTTGTATGGGCAAAGGTACGGGAAAATGTTTGAAACGAAAATAACACGAATTAAATACCTCATTTGCTCAAACAATATAGTAACTCAATAACACACACTAGCTATAGCCAGTGTAATACTTTGGTGTGTCACTTTTGAAGACAAAGGCAAACTATTTGTTCACATGGATAATAGGGATTTATGATAACAACTTTACTTCTTGATAATCTTATTGGCCGAGGAAGTAAAACATGGATCTAAAGTTCTTTTGTGATAATTGCAATATAATTAGTATAACAATTTTTAAAATGTTTTCAATGGAATATATGAATTTTAATCTATTTATTATACTAATTTTTTAAAACTATCAATCAAATAGTTTTGTTTAATTTTTATCAATTGTTTTATTAATTGATGATGTTTTATTTTACCCATATTACTAAATTATGATTTTTTTTCCCCTTTCATTCTTAGAAGAAAATTTCCCTTTTATTTTTTTTTTTAACTTTTTTTATAGGAAGTAGTCATATTTAGTAGTATGCAAAAAAAAAAAAAAAAGCCATCGGATAGTGAAACAGTTGACAAAAGTTGGACAAAAAATAATTGATTGATTGTTTTTTAAAAAATTAAAATTTATATACTCAACTAAAAAAATATTAAAAATTGATATACTTATAGTGTAATTATTCCAAATTTTTTTTCATGTTACTATGATATTTTTGGAAATAGAAATTTTGAAAAAAAAAAAAAAACACTCAAAACTTAGATATTTATACTCTGCATTTTCCTTCATGGACATCAATATTATGCATTAAAAATATCTATTTATTTATGCTATGCATTAAAAGATATTCATTTAGAAGCACCACAAAGCCATATATGGGAGATTTATATATTTTTCTCTTAAAACTTTATCTCCCTAATGTTGTAAATTGAATTTGAGTTTTTATTCTTGTTATTTTATATTTTAAAAATATATTTTTCTGAAAAAAGACTTTTTATTGAATAATTATTGGGACGATAATGTTTATAATATAATTCAATGCATGCATATATTAACTGATATGAGATCAAGTTTGTTAATAAGATATATTTATATTGTTAAACCCTATTCAAATCTAATATTAATTTAGAGTGACTATGTATGATGATCAAATGATTTTCCAGTTTTAATTTTTTTTATATATGAAAAACTAACCCCAACCATATATCCAGGTTGAAAGTGTGCTGCCTTTCATCTGCAAATTAAACTCAAATAATCTTACCGTTGTAAAACTTCTTTACATATTAATATTATTTGGTTGAGTAGTGCTAAACATTAATAAATAAATAAAAATTCAAAAATGTACATTATGGTCGTATTATAATTTTAAGAATATCTGTTCTTATATATTATTTAAAGCTTTTCATATATCTTTAGATTTCTAATTGCATCTCATTTATTTTTTAAATTATTTAAAATATTTAATATGTCATTTCAATTAATTTTTCTCACCAAACGAATTGTTTTTTTATCGAAATACTCCTAATTGAAAAAAAAATTATAAAAATTTTAAAAATAAAACTCGTAAATCATGTAATTTTAAATATATATTTTTTGCATTTTAGTAAAAGGTATTTCAATAAAAAAAAAATCCAAGATCGGAAAAACAGATTGAATATTTCAAAAAATTTCAAAAATATGTAAGATGTAATTGAAAATATAGAGACAAATAAGATACTTTGAGTATTATATAAAAACATATAAATATATTTATCCTAATTTTAAAATGGTATTCAGTTGTGAGTTTCACTAATTCATTAGTCTTAAGTGTATTTTTTTTAGGTTTTTCTTAATGTTTAGCATTACTATATATATTGGGTATCTTTCAATACTTAACCTATACTGGGGCTTAAACTTGTGAAAGATTAAGAAAACCAAATTCTTACTCTTTCTCTCTTCTGTATTTAGACAATTAGTCATTGATCCATATTAAATACAAGATCAGCATTATATCCATTCACCTGAAGACCTCACCAAAAAATTAAGTGAGAGGTGCAGAATAGAAGAGAAATAAAGACTGTAGCACTGTGAAGTTTGCTACCTTTGGGTGATGAGAGTTGCTGTAGCACGTGATCAGCCAGATAGGAAAAGCCACAGGAGAGACAGTCACTTCCCTTCTGACCTTGCCTTCTCTTTCTAGATTGACTAAATAGTGAAATTTAATAAAAAGGCAAGTTGAGTCATCACGGTAGATCAAATTTGGTGTAAAAAGAGAACTTGTTTCCCTCCCTCCTTAAAAGTCACCATGTATATATACACTTTCACATGGTGATAGCAGTATTTGATAGGTCCATATAGAGAGAAGCTTTGGCCTAGACAAAAGGGAGAGAGTGAGTAGTGAGAGAAAGAAAGAGAGGAAACTGTGGATGAATTGGAGGTACTAAGCCATGGGAAGACCTCCTTGCTGTGACAAAGTTGGGATCAAGAAAGGTCCATGGACCCCTGAGGAGGACATCATCCTAGTGTCTTATATTCAAGAACATGGTCCAGGAAATTGGAGATCAGTTCCTACCAACACTGGTAAGTTCCACAACTTAGATCCAACTGATTGGTCATCATCATTTATGAAATGAATCCCAATGATCAGTTTCAAAATTTTGGCATGGAACTTGTATATATTTCCAATATTGTTTTTTCAATATTCGGATCAATAAACATTGAATTATGGAATACACTAATGGATTAATATCTTGTTGTCTGCAAAAGGGTTGTTAAGATGCAGCAAAAGTTGCAGGCTTAGATGGACTAATTACCTCAGGCCAGGAATTAAGCGAGGCAACTTCACACCCCATGAAGAAGGGATGATAATTCACTTGCAAGCTTTATTGGGTAACAAGTAATCCTCTAAAATCTCAATTTTCTGTTTAAATTTATGTATTTTTCATTCAAGAAATCAAATTATATCATAAGTAGGAGATTTTTTTTTCTTTTGACAGACTTACATGTCATGAATTAATTTAAATCGTTTGTCTTTCTTGATTAATTTGGACAGATGGGCAGCCATAGCTTCATATCTTCCCCAGAGAACAGATAATGATATAAAGAACTACTGGAACACCCACCTGAAGAAGAAACTAAAGAAGTTCCAATCAGCTTTGGACCCAATGGCACAAGACTCAGCAAGCAGTCAGTTCATGTCAAAAAGTTTCAGTGAGAGAAAGAGCATAGATAATTTCACCACCGATTCCTTAGTCCTCAGCAAGCCTAATAATCAGGCCACCACATATGCATCAAGTACCGAAAACATTTCGCGGCTTCTTGAAGGTTGGATGAGATCATCTCCAAAGCCGAAAGGTACTGATCTTCTCAAAGAAAATTGGGAGCAAAACATCAACAGCCTGGAAAACAATGATCATAGCATTGGCAATTCAGCGGCTACAAATTCTCTTCAATCTTACAGGCCAAAACCTGAGCAAGAAAGTGGTGATCTAATCTCTCACGAAGAGTTTGAGTCCATTTTATCACTTGAGAACTTGAATAATGTTGCATGGGACAAGTCCTCTTGTGATTCTGCTAATGTTACTACTACTACAAAGGGTTTCCAGAACTCTGCAAGTGACGAGAAGGACAATATCACAATGACTGAGACGAAGCAGAAATCTGAGAGCGCTCCCCACTTATCATTTCTTGAGAAATGGCTCTTGGATGAAAATGGTGCTGGTCAAGTGGAAGAAATTATGGAGCTATCTCCAATATTCTGATCATATTATCGTTCCCTCTCTCCTTATTCCTCCCCCACTTTTCTTTTCTTTTGTTTTATTTTATTTTATTTAGTTTCAGTAAGCCAGTGGAGGACAGATCCAAAAAAAAAAAAAAAAAAAAGATTAGTGTGATCTCTCAGGGTTTAATCTTTTAGCAGCCATGGGGTTCTGAGAAGCTGGGATCTCTTTGCAAATTGTAATTAACCTTACTATCTTTTAATGAATTAATTGTCATGAAATAACCTAAGCATTTCACTCTCTGTGTAATTTGTGTGTATGATTGAAAAAAAAAAAAAAAAAGTCCTGCAGCTAATTAAGTTCATCGTTGCAAAGAGTCAATTTACGCTGGATATGGATATGTGGATCCAATTTGATCCAAGGGTTAGAAATGGGTGTGTCTAACCCACAACAGCAAAGAAAAATGAAAGAGAAGAGTCCACCCATTTATTAGAGATTCCTTTCATGGGTCTACATCATGTATTAATTAACTTGTAGCATTTGCTTTATCTATCTCTTGACGTATAGGTTACTGTGTACACACAAGAAAAAGAGATGGAGACAAATGCATGTTGTTCTAGTCAAAATTAATAAGAACACTCAAAAACACATATATAGATAGACTAGATCATATTTGATATCACCAACAAAATAATTTAGTCTTTGAACAAAACCCTAAACCTAGCTAGCTGGAAGCAATAACATATTATAGAGCTCCCCTGAGTAAAAGTTTAAGCTAAGAAGCTATCATGCATGCAACTATTATAAGTAGTAACCTATTTTTGCTGCTGGGTCGATTTCAGTGGGGGTTAAGACTAGAATTACTAATATCTTTAACATTTGTATAGAACTAGCTAGCACTCAACCTCTACAATTAATTTGTTAGATAATACATAGGTATATGCAAATTTTGGTAATTATGTACTTGAAGCGAAAATGGGACTTATTGCAAAGTGAAAGCAAGAGGAATAAAAGCCATATAAGTAAAAAATGAGATAGTGTCACGAAAGTCTTGCATCCAAATGAGGTAAAATGGTTGCTTCAGTGGCTTTTTAGCTAGAAAACTTGAAGTATGAGAGAGAGAGAGAGAGAGAGAGAAACATGTGATCTTAAATGACCTTTCGGTGATGACTGATGAGAAGCAGAAATGCTAATCTTTAGAGTCCAATCTTTCACAAGATACAGCCTATATAGGTTCTGGCTTATGATTTCTTCTATACGTGATTCAATTCGGTCCCCCACCTTCCTTCTACACTGCCACCCCCAGACTTTAATTAAAATTATATCAATATGAACCTCACTGGGTCAGCTAATTTAGGGACAAAAATGTTCCAGCTGTGGCATGTCCAGGTCGATCATTGTTGAGTACAAACAACTGTACGTCTAGATCAAATTGGAACTGATTATAACTGTAATTGAACTGTATGTAATCCAATTGATATATATATATATTGTAAAATTTATTATAAAAAATAATATACCTGTTACATTGGTTTTTAGTATAAGTGATAAATGATTCCATCAAGACGAGTCTGGATAACTTACTTAAAATCTGATCATAAAAGAGTGATTAGTTTGGTGTGCAAAACTTGACTTGAGGATATATAACCTTACTATTATATTAAAAAAAATGAGTGTATCCTACTGTGATCCTATTGTGAGTTTTTTTTTCTGGGTCACGTCGATTAAGAGAACTTTGTAACAAAAAAATACGAACAATAATTGAGAAATGTTCTGCATGACGGTCAATCTTCCAATCATGTAGATAAATAAATCAAATTAACTTTATAAATTAAATTATCGCTAATCATGATGATGTTTTCGATCCTTTATGTTATAAGTAAACTAAATTAAACTTGATGTAATAGGTCCGAATGCTTAGTAGAGAATCATGACCCCTCGGACTGGTTAGGTTGCGGGATTATAAGATAACAACTCAAAATAAAAGATGATTTAAACTAATTAACGAGCTTCTTATGCTAATATGCAATCAAAATAACACAACTAAACTATAAACTAAGAAATTAAACGATCAAAATACTAAGAAATGCGGAATATAATATGAACATAAATCCAAGTAATAACAAGCTTAAAGACTTAATCAACACCTAAAAAAACACAATATTACGGTCTTTACAATACTTTTAGCTTGAAAATAACACATTTACATTAAAAAATGGCAAATATGAACAATTGGCACTCCGAGTACATGAGAATATCGAAAGAATTAGGGATGGCGTTCGTTGCAAGCACGAGCAAAGAACCAAAAACCAACTACTAGTTTATAGATTACTACCTACTTGATTACAACCTACAAATTACTATCTAAGAGTTACAACCTATAAATTGCTACCTACTAGGTATCTGTCTAACAAGTTTCATGTAATGAAACTTGTAAAAGTACCAAAGAACTTGTACCTCGGTAGTAGTAGTTTCTTACAATAAGAGTTCACGGGTTCAAATTCTAATAGACTAATTCTGCTAAAAGTCTTGGGTGTGTAAGTTAAAAAAAATGGCAAAAAAAAAAAAAAGAAGAACTTGTAAAAGTGCTCATTGAGTTATTTGTAATTTGTAAGATTTTTGCTTGTGCATTTTTTTTTCTATTGTAGTTGGTAGTTATAGACATTTATCTCCTCTATGATCTCCCATATGGACCACTTCTCCCATATATTCCGTGTTGCTTCATGTTCTTCTTTTCTTGTGTTGTAAAGGAACGTTTTCCTTGCTCTATTCTGCTATTCTTGTATTGCAATCTTTATGTTTCTTCAAACTATTCCATTCATGCTCTTATTATTACTAAAATTCTATTATTCTTCAACTTCCTTTATGTTAACTATTTATTGCTTACTCTTGTCTTTAAAATAAGGTTTTCCCATGTTTTCCTCCATAGATTTACCTTGTTGAGAGTCCTTCTTTCGTCTACCTCTCATTGACTAACCGATCTCATCCGAGTTGATTTTCTAGGTCAAGCACATTTGTTGGGCTTAGTGGCTAGGAAAGGCCCTTTCTAGATAGGAAATACTCATTGGGTTTAAGTGAAGCCAATCAAGAAAAAGGTTCAATAGAAACAATTGAAAAACTTTATGGGATTTATCCTTCTTTTCTATTTAATTTATTAGGCCTAGACCAAGAATAAATTTGAGTATAACACATTCACAAATTGGTATATTTACAATAATTTAAAAAATGCTCTCTACCAAAACCTTCCCTCATTCCCATCCCTACCACAAAAACCCAACCCCACACTACAAAACCCTAATCTTACCTATAGATAACTAAATCTAACCACATCAAAGATCTCAAAAAAAAAAAAAAAAAAAAAAAAAAAAAAAAACCATACTCTTCTCTCTTATAAAAAATCCTTAACCCAAATCCTCATCAGCCTTTAAGCACATTTTAAAAATATTTTTGAATTATATTGATTTCAAATCCTCAAATAATTCTAGGTTTGGGAAAGTTATGGATTTTCTTGTTCAAAAAAATTAATTAATAAATAAAATTTGAAGAAGATTTGGCTTTATTAGTTAGTTTGGAAATAGATTCCTCTTTAGAGTTTCTTATTCAACATCTTAGTAAATTTTGGTTTGATTCATGTAAGTTACAAATTAACTTAGAAAGGTTTGACGAAAGAAAACATACTGAAAAAGTCTCTCCCTAAGTGTGTGGAAGTGTAGAATGTTGATAGGAGACCTTCTACATCTTTAAGACTATACGATGATATAACATATACCGAGATTTTGAGTCCTAGGACACTAAGAAAGATTTCATTAAAATCTAGAATGATTATTGTTGATTATCAAGCTTCTAAATATATCATCATGTGGGTGAAGTGGAGCTTATTGGGTGTTATTTCATATGATATTGATTACAATTCTCTTAAGTGTAATCTAGAATTTTGTTGTATCAATATTATTAGTTGCAATATCTTGGTGCATCACAAGCCTTATTTATTTTTAGTTCGATTAAAACTATGCATTATGCTATCGATACTATTGAATCTACTTTTTCTTAATTCTTTGAAGTGATAAGACTTTGGAATTTTGATGTTATTGCATATGACTAATTTTATGTTAAGTTGTGGAGATTAATGTGGATGGAGGCCCCCAATATAAGTTGCTATATAGATCCAAGACAACAATCTTGATAGGCTTTTTTTTATAACCCTACTTGCCCATACTTTAAATAGAGGCAATATTACTTATATTTATAGCTACCACTTAATAAAATCTAATAAGAAATCCTATTGTAGTCATGGAGTAGGCATCATTATTGAACCATATAAAATCTTTATATTATGTGATTATGCTTGTCTTTCCGTCATATTCTTCTATTTGATTCATTTTCTAACAACTCGCTATTAGAGCCCTAAGTTAGTGGGGTAAGGAGGAACGATGGTAGCAGAAAGAGAAGTCATGATTGATAAGTTTGATGGCAAAGACTTCGAGTTTTAAAAAATACAAATTAAAGATTATCTATACCGAAAAAAGCTTCACGAACCCCTATTAGGAAAGAAGCCAAAAGAGATGAAAGATGTTGATTGGATTTTGTTAGATCGCCGAGCTTTGGGCTAACATCGTCATAAGACGTTGCTTTCAACATCATGAAAGAAAAAGACTATATCATATCTAATGATGACACTATCAAATATTTATGAGAAATTGACTACCTCAAATAAGATATTTTTAATGCATTGATTATTCAATATAAAGATAGCAGAAGGCGTTTTTGTAACCAATCACATTAATGAATTTAATGCGTTGATTACCCAATTAGAATCGATAAATATTATGTTTGATAATGAAGTTAAGGTACTAATTTTATTATCTTCTCTGCCTCGAGAGTTGATCTAGATTGGTAACAACAAGAACCAATTCATCAAGAAATGAAAAAATAAAATTAGATGATGTTCAAGATTTAATGATCGGTAAAGATCTTTACGGGAATGAGTTAGGGAAACTTTAGATTCTACTCGAGTATTGATAGCAGAGGGAAGTACTTTCAAT